CAGATAAGCTGTTTCCAGTTCTGTGTGGGGATAAGGCCCAATATCTCACTTGAAATGAGTTGAGAACACCCCTTTCAGTGGGGGAATGGTTTTGATAGACTGTAAGAGATTTAACCTTACAGCTATAGCTGTAATGTATAGAAAAGCTACTTTTTGCTATTTCCAAATTATATTGGGTATCATTTTTTTTCTCTCCCTCAGCAGTCTGAACAATTGGACTCATGATACTAAGGAGGTCTGGCTTTTATAGGAAGAGGAATATGACAAATAACTCCCATAAACGTGTTTACAGTTTGCACTATCATTTCTAAAATACCATTTCCTGCGTTGACACAAAAGTAGTTCACAGTGGTAGGGGAAAGATTTTACAGGTGCCAAGTCATGATATGACCTCCAAAACACAGTTGCATGGCTGCAAGAACAGAGAGTGCTGCACGGGGATTGCGCTAGTAGGAACCTGATATCCGACCCCTCCAACTTTTCTGTTCTGTGAGAGATTACAAGTTTTGAGCAAAATCCTGGGGGTAATCCTGCAGGATTCGGCCATCAACAGCTGTGCTCACTGCAGACTCCTCTGCAGGCCTTTTCTGTAAGCAGCTGTTATCCACATACTGTTCCATGCTGGGGCTGATCCATGCTTCTCATAAGACCTAAATTGGAATTGCCTCCGTGTCCCTTATCATCACTGGATATTTGGAGTGATGCAGAAGATAAGGACGCCCCAAGGGGTATGCGTCTCACAGCAGCATCCTCAAGAAAGGTAGGTTCTGGGGAGCTGGTGAATGAGCTACGTAATTGCAGCTGCTGCGTAATTGCAGCAGCTCTAAAGGAGGTCTCAGCTACGGTTTGGGGCTCTGGGAAAGGTTTCTTACCTTAGCTTTTCCCTTAAAGATGGGAAATGTGTGGCACAAAAGAGCTGTAAGAGAAGGGGGGGGGGTTAGATTTCTGTCACCCCAGAAAGCAGATTAGCAGAGGGAGCTGTCAGGTGAGCATGAGATAGCCTCTGCATATGCTGTCATACTAGATGCCAGAGGGACATTCCTGGCTCCTTGGTGACTGCTGCTAGCAAGACCTCAGCCTGGTCATGGATTTTCTGAGTTTCAGTCTGTAATTGCAAAACCCACTCATCTTTTTTTTTCTCTCTCACTGTTTCTTTCTCCTTTCCTCCTGCTTCTGTTTTCTCTTCCTGCTATCCTGCTTCTGCTGCTGTTGTCCGTGGAGCAAACTGAAGTTTGCAATGCCAAAAACACCTCCTGCTTGTGCCTAGATTTTGCTTGCTGTAACCTAATGCCTACCTGAGATACACCCCTTCTGAAAGTATCTGAAACCCAGAAAGAAAAACTGGTTTAGATAGTCTGTACTTGAAAGCAGATTCATAGCCTGTTTTAATGTGTATTAAAAGCATACTAGCTATCCTTGAATAAAACCAAGTGCTGACAAACTCATTTTCTAGAATAAAGGTATCTGCGTATTGGCATGAATAGGAGGATAGCTATTACTGACGAGCTCCGTGTGCAGACAAGTTACTACAGCTAGCGAGGCCTGAAAGGAGCCGAGGCATGACTGAGCCTCATAATTAGACCTAGATTAGACTTTTGCCGGAGGGGAAGGCAAGGCAAGAACAGCTCTGAACTCCTATCGTCGCCTGTAGTGTTTGAACACAGAGACATCCCTCGCCGTCCCAGGGAAGTCAGCGACGCCAAGCCAGGCTGGAACGAAGCCCCGTTATCTCTACAGGAGCATTGCTGACAGGGCAGGTGTGGGCTTGTGCTTGTGTGGTGTGACCAGCTCAGGTTTTCTCCACAGCCACTCTTCTCCAGGAGGGTTTGGGGGGGCTGCCAGAGCCACGTACTACCAGGGGAGGACCTCCAGTAGTTGCAGTCCCCCATTTCATGATGGTACGGGCACCTGAGGCCCTTGGAGCACCTCCGGAGGAAGTGCTTGTCCTCCCCTTCAGCTTGAGCCCTGGACACTGACCTTGGCCCTGTGCAGGTCCTCTGGAGCTACTCCAGAACTAGTAGCAGGTGAAACCCCGCCTCCCTGTGTCTGAGGTGCCATCAGAGACTGGCTGTCAGATTTCCCCTGATGTCTCATCCCAGCAAACTGCTGCTCTTAACGTCAAGTGTTGCCTCTACGTTTGATTGACAAGGGATCAAACAACTCCTTGCTGCCTGTGTGTTTTTGTAGATGCAGGCATGCCAGCACCACTTGCTTGAGTTTTGGGGGTGGCATGGCCATAGCAGATGGGCGGGTTTCAGTCTCTAGGCATGCATGGGAACTGGGCTGTACTGGTACCAGTGCTAGCCCAGGGAACCTGCCATGGCTCTGACTACACAGGATGCACCGCTTCTCTACTACTGTCATTTGCTACTATAGTTTTGGGGCTTGTGTGCTGTTAAGAGGCAAAAGACTGTGCCACGAGTCTTGCATGCCTGCCTGTGCCTGTCTGTGTCCAGCTCAGCACAGGGTCTGGGGGCTGAGGGTCATCATGCGGTGGTCACCTGTGCCCTCTGTCCAGGTGTTGAGTGCCCAGCATTCCCATTGGGCTCCATAACAGCTTGGGCTTGCAGGGGGTGCATGGTATGGGAGCAGCAGTGTACATCTCTTTGGAGTCCGGAAGAGGCTTCATGTAGGATTTCTAGTGTGGCAGAGGTAGCTTTGCTGCCAGGTCTTTGTAATCAGCATCTCTCTGTTGTACCCAGTGAAGTCAAGGTTAGATCGTGCAATTTCTGCTGGTCTATGGCTCCTCACAAACCGCTAATTTTGACTGAACAGTCACCTCCAGTGCAGCAGGCTGGTCGTGTGCCTGTGGATCAAACACTGTGAAGGATTTTTTGATCTCTCTCGTTTCTGTCAGCAAAGGATCATTGCAGATGGGAAGAGATTTCTTGCACAAATGCTGGTTTCACATTTGCTTTTAGCTACGTGCTGAGCCTCCCTGCAGACTTTGGACAAAGTTAACTGGGTGATACTTAGCTCAATGCATTCTTTGTAAAATCTTGAACAAACCAGAAAAGATTGTCAATGGTAATCATGGTGATTAGATTAGATCACTTAAAGGTTTCAGCCTCCCCAGAGTAAACATCTGCTTTCAATACCATAAATAGCAAGGTGCTGCACTTTAGGCAAACTTGGCCTCTATCCAAGGGAATGTCATTGTTTACTGCTTTTCCTATGTATCTTCCTTTGCTTTTCAGTCTATACCATGCTACACTTCTGTGTGTACCCTTCTTTTGTTTCTTTTCAGCCATGTAGGAGCATGCATTGTGGTTGCTCAGTACTGAGTGCTTCTGTTGCTTGTTATTGAATGCTAGCTCTGGTGTCATTCCAGTTAAGCTCTATGTACCTTTTGTTTTTGAAAATCAATGGAGAGCAAATTTAAAAAGAACTAGTTTTTGTGGTACCTTTCATTTAAAAAAAAAATTCCATTTATGCTTGCTCATGATGAGAGAGGTTTCTAGGGAGGTCGGTCTGGGAGACAAAATATGGTTTGTGCTTTTAATAAGCATCAGGAACCGTTTTTTCCTTTAGAAAACCTTGGATGCTTCATAGCCACTCTTATCTAAAGAGAAAAACACTATTCCAGGGCATTGTTTTGTTTACAGCAGATGTTGCTTTGTGGTACAGAATCTTGATTTGCAACCAAGTCAAGGGTCTTGGGAATTCTCCTGAGGTCTTGGGGAGAAATATGTAAGATTAGCCACTGCAGGCCGTGTCTGTGCTGCAGGTGTGGCAGTACAAGTAGAAGGAAGCACCCGAGGTGGCCTTTTGCTAGTATCTTCCTGTCAGGAGTGAGGGGTATGGTTCCAGATGTGTGATGATAGCAGGAAAAATCAGATTGCAGCGAGTTCAGACTCCTCTGGGACTTGGGAAGATGCTGAGGTCTTGTTTGTTTAAACACCGCAGTGAGCTGGGAACCTTGCAGAATTGAATTTGCCAAAGAAGGAGGTTTGCTTAAGTTCTCTTAAAACAGGGGAAGAAAGAAACATACTGAAAATAATTGAGTTTCTGGTGCTTTAAAAGCTTCTTAATGTTCTTCAAGTTATTTTTTTCTGCGAAAGTATGTCCTTTTGATTGCAGTTCAGGCTTAGCAGAGTACAGTACATCTTGCCACAGAATGAGTAAATGAGTTCTGTTCTGCAGCTGCTATTGAATGACGATGTTGGAGCATGCCTTGGCTTATCAGTGAAGGCTGCCTAATGTATTCCACCCAGCCTACCTGAGTGTGCTCTGCAGCAGCAAACCCAGTTAACTCTTTTCATACCTGCTGTATGAATGGTTTTAGCGGTTACGGGGGTGCTTTGTTTTATAGTATTTCAGTAAGACATGCCAGAGCTTGCACTGGCCGTTTCTTGCACACCTCGGTTGCTCTCTGCAGCCCAGAAAATGCACCAGGAGCTTGCCACAGCACAGTCTGGTGAGGCGGCTCATGAGCAGAGTGTGGCTCATTAGCTTTACATTCATTAGTTTCTAAAAGCCTTCTGAATCAGATTTGGGGGCATGAGGAAGAGATTTACAGTCTATCCTACCAGTGTGACAGAATGTTCCTCGTCAAAAAAAGAGAAAATGGGCCTCTCTGGACCATTCTAAGGGGTTTTATAGTTTAGCTGTTGTTTTTCAAGATGCCTCAAACTGTTTGGCTTTGTGTTTGTCTGTCATCTTCAACTCAGTCCTCCCACAAAAAGGCAAATACCTGCTTTTACTGAATTATTAACAACAATAGATGGAGCTTACGTATCAATGAAAATTATGGACGTTTCCCAGGGCAATTGATTTAAACGGAGTTAAATTTAGTGGAAGCTTCTATTGGTGTAATGAATGCTCATTATAGAGCCTAATGTGCTTTAAGGGCTTGAAAACCTTCTCAGTAGGGAAGTCAGGCTGCTGCTTTCCAGCAGAGGCGCAGCTGCTGTACCATGGCACTGCTGTCACCACAACCGTATCCCATCACTACGCCTGAACATTTCTCTTTAACCTTGTGTATTTTTTTCCTCTTGCAGAAGACCACCTCCCAGCTGGCTTCCCGACCATTGACATGGGCCCGCAGCTGAAGGTGGTGGAAAAGGCCCGCACAGCCACAATGCTCTGTGCTGCCAGCGGTAACCCTGATCCTGAAATCTCCTGGTTCAAGGACTTCCTGCCTGTCGACACTGCAACTAGCAATGGGCGAATCAAGCAGCTCCGCTCGGGTAAGGTGGCAAAGCAAGTAAGCCTTCCTTACCTCCTCACTCTTCCTCCCTTTTCTCTGTACTTGCTGCTATTATTTTTTCCCTGAAATACTGAAATGCAATTCTAAACCCAAATGTCAATTTGATTTGAGCTCGTTTCTTTTACAATATAAATACAGTTTTGGGAGCTGATCCTCTCTGGCAGGATATCGTGGCTTGTTAAAAGGAGACAGTAGAGTGGACGTGCCTTTTGGAACATCACCTGGATTCCTTCTTCGGTAGACCGTCTTGACATTGCCCCAAATACTTGGTAGGCTCAGACGTTTCACTGCCAACTCAACAGGTCTCGGATACTTTTAATAGGAGCACAGTGCAAATCAGGACAATGAGATACTGGTTGGGATTTTACAATCAGTGGTCACGTACTACTTCACTCCTTACATAGACTCTGCAAGACAGTGCTCTGCTTTCTGTTGAGATCTTTATCATTCTTGCTATGTGACACCACAAGAATAAAGAAAAATCCAGGAAGCAGCAATTCTATGGATTTCAAAGGAAGGTGGACACAGTTTTGAAATACACCGTTTCTTTTTGATTTTTTTTGTTTGATAAGCCAAACACTAGCTTTTGAAATACAGACGGTTAGTTCTTGTGGGTGGCTAAGAATGCACTCATTCTAGCAAGGAACTCTTGTTTTTCTGCTGCACTGATAGGTCTCCCAGGACTGTAAGGCCCATTAGAGAATTAAGGAAAATAAAACATTGCTTTATTCACTGACAAAGTGCAGCTCCCCAGCATGAATTGCAGTGGCTATTTAACAATGCACAGCGGCACTACACAGCAGCTTTAATCCGGGGGGAAAAAGCCCACAGTACCCTACAGGAAGTACAGAAGGGAACAGAGCTGGAACAACTTTGGTCTAGAAAGGTCTCACGCTTAAATAAGAGGCAGACTGCCTTGCTTGGCCACGATGTATCTCTGGGCACTCAAAAGCCATTTGTAATGAGTGTTGCTGCCAGGGCAACACCATCTTCCTCCTAGCAAGGTGAACATCTTGACACATTTCCCCATAGCAGGAGCCCTCTGCATAAATCTGATGATGCTTGGATGATAAGAAGTAGGCTTGTACTTGGGGGAGTGGGTAATGAGACATCACTCTCATCAAAAATAGAACCCAGCCTGACACTCCTGATCCCACCTTGATGTACCAGTGAGCGCTAATTATACTAATGCATTTATAGCTTATGAAATTTCCCAGTGACCTTTAGCTTATCTCCCCCACAACATGGTTTAATCTTGATCTGTTTGTGCTGAAAGAAAATATCACACTTGTTAATTATTCTGAGAAGCTTTAGGAAGCAGCAATAGGAAAGTGCACACGGATGTGTTTCACTTCATAGCTGACTAAATCAGCATCAGAAATTACCATAAATGAGCAGCAAGGCAGCTCCTGATGCACTTGCTGTATGTTCTCCAGCCTCCTTTTCGCAGGCACTTGGCTGCCTCTCTACCAGCTGCTTCACAAGTTTAGTGAGATAGAAAGTTTAAAAACAAACTAGTAAACCCTGTCACTGTGTCCAAGTCTTGCTTCCTATTTGCTGTTCTTGAGCAACATCTCAATTGAATATTTCACCTGGGATTCAAACTCTAGAGCTGGCTGCTTGCTGAAGACACAGTAATTACCAAGGGAGGTGTCAAGGGAACCTTTTCAAAATCAATGAGCAGCACACATCCTCAGACTCGCAAAAGAAATTGATTAGCTCTCTAATGTAGTAAGGGAGGTTTCCACAGTTCAATGCAAGAGACTTCCAAATACGAGTGAAGTTTTACTTTCAGGGACCTTGTGATATGATGCCATGTTTCACCAAGGCTCTGGTCTCCACCCTGGCATGAGTGGAGAGCAAGAAGTTTACCACTTCTCATGGGCCAGAGATTCAACCCCTGTTCGCATTTGTGGCTTTCTCCTGTATTTGTACTTGACATAAAGTAGGGCCTGTGCTTTGAAGTGCCTGAGTCCCACTTACCTGACTGCAGTCACCCTGTGTGAGCAATGTGTTGGGTTGGGCAGTCTCTGATCCATTCTGCAAGGTGCTAATTGAGCTCTCCAGCACTACACTGTAGTGGGGCAGAGCTGTTTTTCAAATAAAAGAGTATTTAAATAGATACCTCATTATATGGCAGAGTTTAATAGTTTGCAAAGTCTCTGCTCCATTAAGATCATATCTTACCACCAGCCTGGCATATCTGCATGAATGTCAGTTTATACTATCTCAATCTAAATATACGCTCATTTAATTTCATTTAATTAAAACCCAATAAAAGCTAGACGGATGTAATATAGTTAAAATAGCTACAGCACGGTGTGAGCCCAATATTGCATATACAGAGTGTCCGACCTTCAACAAATACATAATATATTATTATTCAGATGTACTAAATATAGGTCATAAAGGTCAAAGCAGCTTTCAAGTCTGACTTAGAGGGGGGGTTGAGGGATGATTTCATTTCTTCAGGCTCCTAGTGTGGAGTAAATAGCTAGAGGTGAAGAAGCAGCATGCTTGGGAAAGGTGCTCTCTTCTGACACTCACAGTTATGTGGGCTGGCAGTGCTCTGGTGGCTTCAGGCAGGTCTTTGAACTTGCATGCACTCGGATCATGTGCCCAAGGGGTCTCTGAACATCAGTTTCTAAAGGTCTGTTAATCTTCTGTCAAAGTACTAGAGAGTTTGTGGTTTAAGACAACCAATCTGTCATCTTAGGCTTTTTAACCCCAGAGGACTGGTGTCTTTGTCAGGAGCAAGTATGCAGTTTATTTATCTGCCCTGTATCCTACCGTCCCTTATTTTCTAATTACATCTATATGTGTGTATATGCATTTTTCTCATTAAACCTTCTGACAGCATAACTCTTTACATTTAGAGGGCTTTTTTTCCCCCTTCTCCCCAGTACATAGATCTTTCCTCCCAAGTAACACTTAATTCTTTTTTAAGTCCAGCTCTTGGGTAGTTTTGCTAGTACGTGTTGGGCTAATTGCTCTAGAGATGAGTATGCAAATGAATACAGGTTTTCATCTCCATTATCACAGATCAAGGCAAAAGCAAGGTCTCTGACTCATGATGGTTGTAGCAAAATTCTCCCTTGCTCATCTTGCTAATACTTCCCACCTCTTGTGGAGAGGCTGCTTTTCTGCAAATGCAGTGACTCAGGACAACTCCCTGTTCTCCCCCAGGGGGCATAGCGTCAGTCATTGCCTCTCAGTCATTGACATAGGATCTAAGGCCAGACATGAGCTGGGAAACCTCCCCAGCATGCTAACTCATTTAAAACTTGTTTGGCTGAACTTATTTTAAAGCTGTCCAGACATTGTAGTATTGCAGGTGATGTACATACGAGTTCTGGCAGCAAGGGTCAGTGCTACACCTCTAACCATGTTTTAAAATTAGTTGATGATGTGGTGGAAACTCTCTCAATATAGATCAGATTGTACTGAACTGTACAGTTCTTCTGTAAAGATTCTTGGATCACAAGCTCCTGAAGACTTCAAAGCAACTCTGATGGTGTTCATACTATCAAAGCTCTTGAATGTTTCCACTGAGTTTCATAGTTGAAGAATTGCTCTTCCACTTTGCTCTTCAGAAAACTTAGAAACAAGATGTCAAATTAGAATAAATAACTATTCTGAATGTTAGCATACAGATATCTTTGCCATGTAAGGAGACTCCAGAACTTCAGGGAGCATTGTCATCTTTCATCTAGTAAAGAACTTGGTCTTATGACAAGTATCATTTGCTTTTAATCACCATCAGTTAACTGAGTTATGGAAGTGTGCCCTGGACCCTAGTGGGTCTTTCAGGCAATTAACTGCAAGTAGAGTATCAGAAAGGGCTCTGCAGGTGACTTCAGTTACTCTCCGGAAAAGTGTAGGTGCCTGTAACAAAGAAGCGGTGGGAGCTGGCTCACTGGGTCATCTTGCTGCATTTGTGCTCTCAGATGGACATCGACTTGAGACAAGGTGTGTAAGGACAGCCCAGAAGAATGGGGGTTGGGGAGTGTTATCCAAAAGGATCAGGAAACCCACACAAGGATGGATGCTCTCTCAGAAGGGACTGACTGGATGAGGGTTGAAGCAATATCAGGGCCAACCAGTTGACAGCTAAAGTTTTATGTCCTGGAAGAACCTATACTGCACATCTGGGTCTTGCTGTGTGAGGTGAGCACAGCAGTGATGGGATCCACACAGACTCCCTGTTGGAACTGGCGGCAAATAGCCAGTCTTTTCTGTAGTACTTTCACTTCTGAAAATATTTTCCCCTAAAACTATGTTAGGAAGTAGCCAAAAGCACTGTCAGAATTCTCTGGGATTCAGTGTTGCACTGCCCTAGTGCCCAGTTGCAGCCAACAAGGCCTTGGTTTCTCTGTTTGATGTTGCTTTGGAGACATTCTTTTGGTGGTTTAGGTTCCTACAAGGAAGTGGTGTGTTGATAAGTCTGGGGTGAGTTTTGGGTCAGCAGAGTGAAGTCCCTTCTACAACAGAGCCTCTCCTCCACACTGGGAAATACTGATGCAGATAATCCCATGGGGTCTTCCAGTGTATCATCCTATGTTTTGCCTTGCTTTGGGCACCTGGCTGTGCACTTCCAGCACACGGAGGGTGGCAGGGTCAGCATTCATTCCTGACTGAAGTGAATGTATGGGGTGTTATTTAGTGTCTGTTATCATGAAGGGGAACTAAACTCTCATTCCTTATGACTGTTTCAGACCTTTCAAACATAAGGAATTGGGTTTGAAGTTTGATCTTGGGGTGCCCTTTGCATAAAGCAGCCTGGTGATCACAGGGCACAGGTTGGCGTCAGTAACCATTCGCAGTAACCATCACTTGATGGACTCTCTTATGGCACTCTGTGGTGTGTGTGCTGTGATTTGGTCCCTTTGAGGGACACCCTGAAAGGACAACAGCCAGAGATACATTCTCATATGATGTGAAGAGCAAATGGGAACTTTTATTCCTTCTGGATGAGGAAATTTGGGGTCCAACAGAAAAGCCTTGTTCACTCTCCATACGGTGCCCTCTGAGTGAAGCGTGAATGTCTTAACTTTGCAAAGGTGAGAGAGACCCAGAACAAACACTGCGCTAAATACAGCAAGCCTCTGTGCTGCTCCCACAAGGGTTGGCTTACATTTGGAGGCCAGGAGGATTGGGATTTAACGCAGGAAAAAATGAGCTGGTCACACTTACGTTTTAGGGAATCTGCTTCAAGTATGCGGTTGCTCCTAGAGCTCTGTGTAGACAATTGTGTATTAGAGAGAGGGTTTAGCCTCTACAGGGAGTAGATTTAAAGATTTGCTGCAAATCTTTTCAGTTCTAGGGCAGAACAACAAACTCTGTTTCAGCCAGATGAGAGAGAAGGAAGTCCTGTTTTCTGCCCCTTGGGCTTGTGCTCAAAGTCATTGCACCGTTCCCGTGGGAAGTGACACACTGTGGTGATGCTTTTCTTAACTCTGAGAATCGTGGAAGGGGAAAGGGGGAGCGGGGAGGGTGGGGTGGGAAGAGGGAGGCCGTAGACCAAACAGAACAAAAATATCACTTGGCAAACTTTCCAAAAAGGCAAAGAGAAATAACCCTGTTTTCCATGGCTGTGCTATTCCATGCGAGTATCTCTGGGTATAACTGTTCTGTCAAGGGTAACGGTAGTTACTAAGATAGATAAATAAGCAGCAGATTTATTATTGCAAGAGAGAGATTACCCACAACTTCAGTCACTGCAAGATCTTTCCTGATGCTTCAGTCATCTGTGGATAGAAAGCGTCAGAAAATAGAACCAGACATAAAGTTAAAATGGGGTAATGTCATCTTGGCAGAGGAAAATGCTAAAATGAGTAGTTTGAATTGCTGCTCCTGCTTAGAGAAAGGACTCTGCCTAAAGGAAGGGTAGTTAGGAAAGAAAAAGAATAAGTATAAATACTGTAATTACTTTTTAAGAGGCAAGTTAAACATGCTTAAAATATGCCTTCTTTGTATTTACAGAAATTCTTTTCTGTCTTTCTTTCCCATTGGGTGATCATTGTTGTGGATAATGGAATGAGCTGTAAATCTGAGATACACGACACTCTTGTATGCGTACTGGTATTTATTAATCAATACACTGAACATGATTTGACACACTGTGTCCTGTTTAACCCTGTTTTTCTGTCTGTTTAAACTCCTCAGTTTTCTTTGGTAAGTGATTGGTATTCAGATCCTACAAATCTGCATAAAACCAACACATACCATGAACTGCCTACAGATTCGATCTGCATGAATCTCTCCCTTATACTAACAGCCTTCATATGTGCAAAATAAGACCAAGGGGACAAAAGTGGGGATTAGAAGGGTTCCTTGCCAATTTGCCCAGCTGGAGCATCACCCCTTCAATCATGCTTCATTATTGATTGTATGCTGAACTCAAGACACTGACCAGTGGATCCTCCACTTGCTAAAGACATTGACCTCATAAAACAAACCTTTATAGATCGTTGCAATAGGATAACTTAACCTCACTCCCAGAGAAGCCCTCCTTATAAGATACTCTTCATTATAGCATGTAAAATTATCTCCACTGCCTTATAAAGAGGGTAGGGATTTCTTTCTCCAGCTAACACCCAAATTAGGCAGGAACGACAGAGGTCTGGCTAGCATGCCATTGTTACATTACCAGAAACTACCTCGTTTCGAAATACTTCTGTATGGAAAGTTAATTCTGCATGACACCAATTTCTTTGCCGGAGGGAACCTGATGCAAGGGTTACGCGAATGCAGAGAATGGCTCAAAACTGATTTGTTATGCTCTCCCCTTAGTTTAATTTCTTTAAGTGAGCAGATTTTGTCCCACTGGTCATTCTAACCTCAAAGCAAAATTGCACCTAGCGCCCGCAACCATGCGCTTTCCACCCCTCCTGCCCAGCACACTCACAGTCACACGGCCCCCAGGACACCCCCGCCCCTTGTTCTGTTTGAGGAATGAAGGGGCACTGCACCATCTTCCCAACGTGTCCTCCATCTCAACTGCTTGAACAGTGGTGTGGGTGAATGCAAGCGGTGAGGCCAGCCAGCAACACCACCTCAGCAGCTTAGTTCGGCCCCTGTTGGTGAGGGTGGTGGCTTTAATGGCAAGATGCAGGGCTGGATGCTGCACTCCTGGAAGCGATGAGCTTTACTAACCTCGTGAGAGTGTCACTCTGACTTTTATTGCACATCAGTTTCTTTTTGTTTATTCCTGTCGCGCTAATACAAATTCCAGCTTTAAAAAAACTTTCTGCTTTTTAGTTATAATTTTCTTCCTTTCCTCTTTGTACTAATGCTTCTCTCTAATCTTATTTGCATTCAAATTACCTCACCAGGTGGTACACCGATCAGAGGTAAGAATGCTGAAATGTGCCTCCAGTTGTCACGTCACTCCATCTCCTGTCTGCCTTGTCCCTTCTCCTCCGGTGTTTCTCATCTCCAGCTTTTACTCTCAGCCCTAACTCTGCCAGTGATCTTGCTCATCTGCACTCTCCCACTAGTGTGTTTATTTTGGTTGGTTTTTAGCGTGATTTCTTGTAGACTCATACATTGTGATTTTGCACTGTTGAAAGGGGGTTATTCAACGGAAAGTTTGCAAACTGGAAAATGGTCCCTGGCCTCCGCCACGGGAGGGTTGACGTCTCCTGCAGCTCCTGCAAGTCTCTGAACTTCCCACACAGTTGTGGCCGCTGAGGTTTTGTGTCTAGGGCGTTTTAAATGGATTGCTTTGGTGTAAGTGTACGGAGGTAACATTTTCACAAGAGAACAGTCAAATTCTTCTCTGCTGCTGCTGATGGGCATGAAACTCTAATCAGAAGGAGATAAATTCTTGAAAGTTTGAGCAAATCTGGCTCTGGGATAAGGAGCACCTTTGTTCGCGTGCCTCATGTTTGCCTTTCAAGTGTGCTAACCCTCTAATGTGGCGGCAGAGTGGAGAACCACTGCCCCAGACCCCTGTTTCTGAGCCGGATAAGCCAATGTTGCTTTGCAGCACAAAGATTTGTTTTAAATAGATGAATCAGAAGCACATCTGGCTGCTTTAAGCCTTCATTAATTAAACGCACCCCTGGTTTGACAGTCCAGTGTGCACAGTCCCTGGCTATTTTTCACAGCCTGTATGCACCAGTAATGACTTTCCAATTGGAGTGTTGTCTTTTCTAGCCTAAACACTCAAAGCTGTCCCTTTAGATTAACTTTAGTGTGTTAATCAGTGTTACATGCTAAGGCCCTTCTGAATTCTCTTGTGATTTTGGTTACCCCTGTTGACTGACCCCTGGATTTCTCGACAGAATGACTACCACCTACAAATCAACATGACCTCATTGGTTCAGTTTTCCCCCTTCTCCCCCTTCCTCCCCCTTTTCCCTGAATCACTGCTGGAAGTTAATAATCTGACTCTTTGGAACTGGTTCTGTTGCTGGGGGTTAATGTTTTCAGCTCCTGTTAAGTGATTTTAGAGTAAATGTGAATTGCCGTTTGATGCGTATTTGCATTAAGTTGCCTCTGTAGCAAATCTGGGTCAGGGAAAAAGACTGCAAACCTTATTTTGATATGAATAGGCTTATATATCTGTCATTCCTCCCTTTGGAACGCTGGAGATTGACAGCTGTGATGTTACAAGCTCCTTAAACTATTGCTTCATCTCCTATTTCTACTGCAAATCCTAAAATGAAATGACAGATTGAATGCTAACTAGCCGAGCGCTCTGAGCTCCCAGCTGTGCACGCCGAGCGCGCAGCCATCCCGGGGCCTCCCTGCGCGCTCGCTGTGCGCCCGCCCTGCCTGATGACATTAGTGACTCAGCACCAGAACCGCGTGGATGCTCCATACGTCCTGCTTGGGAACCGAACGCATCTCTGTGAAAAGAACCATCCATCTCATAAAACATAAGTTCCCTGCACCCCCACCCCCCTTCCCACCCCCGTTTGAGTCCTGACAAGGTATATTAAGAATGTTCTTGACATTATTTAAAATATGTGTCCTGTTTGAATGTCAAAGATGACATTTCTGTGAGAGCAAACAGAAGCCACGTGCTGCTCTCTGGCTTCTCCCAGAGGATTTCTGTCAGCCTAATGCCTTTTATTTAAAACGGAGGTCATTGAATTTCTAAAGATAACGACAGATTAGATGAAAGTGCTTTTATGATGGTGAGGTTGTGTCCATGTAGAAGTGACTGTTCTGCCATGTTCTATACCCAGCTGCACTCTTGTTCCTCATTAAGGTAAGTTTGATGCTTTGGAATCCATTAATTTGGTCTGAAAGGAAGGGTGAACTAATGACTCTTAACGAACCCTTTTGGTAATAATGTTTGGGGGAGGAAGGGGAGGTTTTGGGTTGATTTAATTGCTGCTGTGACTGTGTCGCTAGGAGTTGTGTGTCTGGAGTACTTGGGAGGTTTGAGCATTACCCAAGGCCTTTGTGCTGGCACAGCGGAGAACCCACTCACAGGGAGCAGCATGTGGTTAGTGAGAGGATGACCTGAGAAATTCTACCATGCACCCCTCCAAACAGGAGGAGATTTTTCTCTCTAACACCTCGTTTGACCTTACCCCCACATATTTGGTCCTTTCTGTCCAAGACGTCTCTGGCTTCCCTGAAATGGGAGAAGCTCCCATCTGTAATTCAGAATCTCAGTTTGTAGCTTCACTCTTTACCCCTCCGGGACTGCCCCAGATAGCAATTTAATCTTGAAATCCCTATTTGTTCATCAGAAAGACACGGAGCTGGCAGGTGCCCATCAGATTAGGCAATAGCAAGCTTCATAAGGTGACCCACAGATAGTACCAGCAAATCCATGTTTAAGCAAATTCTGCCCCATTCTTATTTTCAAAGTAGAATATAAGATGTTTATTTCCAGCATTTCTCTGGAATTGAACTCGCTCAACCTTTTGTGAAACCTGGCTGCGTTTTCCTGCCCCAGGCTGTAAGAGAGCAGAGCACTGTTGTGTTTCTGGTGGGTGCTGGACTGAACATGCATTAGATCGGATGCACATGAGGAGGTATAGAAATATCATCATCTCAGGCATTTCCCTCTCCAGTCAGATTTATTTGTTACTTTTCTGTCACCACAGGAAATATCTGAGGTTCCTATACATAAAAGTATTTCTTCCCTGCAGACGTCAGCGTAGCAGAGGTCTGTCTGAATTAACTTTAGATCAGCTCACTTGGGTGTCAGAAGCTGTCTCTCTCAGAAGCCAGGTAAACACCCGCACTGACTTCTGTATAGCTGCAGCTAAACCTTTTCCAGTCCCGAGCAAACTGGTTTAAATATAGCTCCAGTATTTCGACACTATCCTGCGAGCTGGAGCGTAAAGCTATCCAAAGAGATTAGAGGAAGCTAAAAGAATTTTGCTGTCTCTTTTTGAGCATGTGTTTGTACATTTGATTGCACTTTGTCTATGATAGGATTTTTTTCCTGAGCTTTTTCAGTCACAAAAAAAAGCGAAAGGAAAACAATTTTAAAATGAGAAGATACGCTTGTAAGAGCAGACAGTGTCAGGGGGAGGTTGGGTGGGGTAGTGCCTGGAAATGCTTGTAATGCCATGTTTCTTACTGTCGGGATTCAGATTGACTCGTGTCCCTTCAGAAGCACACAGAGGCGTTACTGTGCGTTTGACAGTGCTGTAGTTTTGCTTCTGATGCAGAGTCCCCTGAGATTTCCTGTACCTGCTGGTGAGAGATCAGAGCATCCTGAAACTCCGCTGTCTAAGAGGAGACCTCGTGCTGCCGGGCACGCTGAGTCTCCTCTCCTCCCTCTCTGCCCAAGTCCGGCTCAGAGGCAGCAGTCGGGTGCTATCAGCAGCTGCCCGGGGTGCACAGGAGAGTGATTTCTCAGCAGTGCTGCCATCCAGAACAGGCCCCTTGCATGCCAATCACCGGCCTCTCAGGCATAATGACCATAATGAACACTAACGACGAAAATACATTTGTAGTTATCTTGTTTTGCATAATTGGCAGTGCTGATGGCTGGTGAAGGCTAGGTGCAATCCTCTGTAACAGCTGGGAGGTGCTGCTGTTATAAATTACAAAAAATAGTGAATATGGGAAATGCTTGTTTTCATTATTAGCAACTCTTGTGTGATTTTGGTGTTTTTCAGTTTTCCACAGCTCCCACGGCAAGTTTTGTTTATCTTGGGCAGCAGCCAGCATGTCAAACTCCAATCCCCTCGTTGTCAGGGTGTCACAGTGTCTTTCTCCACCATATTCACACTTACGGGGCCTTGTTTGGTCTGGGCTTGCCTCTGGGCCTGCTCCGCAGCTCCCTGGATTTTATTAGGAGGATTCACCTTCTCTGGGAGGAGTTTTTAGCAGAAGGGGGATTGGGACCCGCACCTGAGCACTGGCTGAAGGGGTGTCTAAGCATACTGCTTCAGGAAGTCGGGCGATGTTTCTGTGGAGAAAGCTGGTGGGAGACCGTGGGAAAGAGAAGGCGGGGCATTGGGATTGGGGTAGCCACACGCTCTAGTGTGCATGGTGGGCAAAATTGACCCGTTCCCTGAGAGGAAGGGCCCTGCTCAGGTAGCTGCGTTCATTAACATCTGCATTGCAAATCCTTTCCTTAGATGAGCGCTGTGACTGCAGCCTGGTTCCCCTGACTCCTGGGTACTTATGGGAGCGTGTCATTCCATGTCTAATTTTATAACCAGGGCAAAAGGTCAGTCCCCACCTCTGAGCCAAGGGGGGCTGAGGCTGTGAATGCCCTGCTAGAGAAATGGAGCTGCTCCCACTGCTGGGGATGGAGCTCCGACCTGAATGGATACGGAAGAGTGTCGCCCCAAGAGCTGCCGTGTTTAGCTCCGTGCGGTGCTGTCTGGTAGAAGAGAGCACAAGCACCCGATGAGCTATGGAGCAGGATTTCAGAGAGATCAATTTGTATGGCAGCTCAGAGCTCTTACATTTGGTTTGTCACCTAGAGGAGAGAGTGACAAGTCCTCCGTGGCACAACAGTACCCAGCACTGCCAAAAGCGGCCCTTATCAGGATCTGCCTTCCCCATGCTCTGTGCAGTGCACTTTTTAAACGCTTCTTTTAACTACTGTCACTGCAACTAATGATTCTGCCTGAGCACAAGTATATTTGAATAGATAAGTATCTTGGAGAGCTGCTAACGGGGCTGCTAACGTTGTCTGTGCCCGAGTTAAAAGAGCGAAAGAAAAAGCTAGGAGAGGAGGGAAGGGACTGGCAAGGAGATACCAGCACAGAGTAAAGAACCTATAAGGGGTGCTTGTCAGTCAGCAGGGCTGTCTCTTGCCCTCAGCCCCAGAAAGCTCTGCCTTGTCACCATTCTCCCTGGCACTGGAGAGCAGCCAGGGGTTTTTCTCAGGAGCTGTCAGCTCTCTGATAAGCTGAGACGTGTTATCAGGAACAGATCTGAGCCGCAAGCGAGATTGACATGACATTGCAGCGTGGTGAGGAATGGCTGTCCCTCTTCTGCTGGAGCGCCGCTGTGGTTCAGGATGCTTAGGAGGCAGCGGAGGTCGCGTGGTGCTCAACAGGGAGAGGTTTTGCTCTGATGCGCACGTACCGCTGCAGAGCCCCACGAGCTCCCAAACAAGCTGTTTGCTGCTCCTCGCTGTACACATATGCATGTTCTGATGGTAGATGGCCCTCACGGATCCACTGAAGTCGTGCTATCTGATTGCATGTCAGGACTCAGCCATGCAGACGAGGACAAGGCACGTGGCACTGGAGCACTGGAGGAGTCCATATGAGAAGTCCGCAGTAACATCCTGCGTGAACAAGACCTTACTCAGCAACTTGCGCAACATAAATCCCGAAGTAATGAATAAAAGTAAATCAGCCTTCCTAGCCCTGGTTTGCAGAGGCACAAAAGATTACAAGATGAGATGTTGACAGGGCTAGGAATAGAAATCAGGTCCTTTGCACTTGTCAAAGCAAAGAATTCACTGCGCTTTTGAGGGTCTTTGGATGCAGCTTCCATGAACTTCAGGGAAAGGAGCTACTCAGGATTCAGTTCTTCCTTTCCTGTAGCTCCTTGTGTCCTGTCCAGCCTAGACTTGAACCCTCCAAGGATGAAGCTATTGCCTTTCTCTGGGATGACTGAATTAGGACCTGGAACATTTTATGCTTAGGGAGTTTTTTCCAAGGCTCAGATGCATTAATGTCTCCAGCTTGCCAATCCCAGCAATGTCTGAGCTTCTTAACTTTATTCTTAAATCTCTGTACCCTGAGATACCCTATGCTTCCCTGTATCCGTCACATAGTTGTAGGTTGTCCTTCAAGAAAACTCCTGTAGTCCCACTGACTGCCATCAGTTTACCATGATCTTTCTTTCTGCTAGCTGTCAGCTATACTGTGGGATCTGTATGTTTGTCTAATGATGATTTATGGCAGTAACTGATTTCTTTCTGGTTCAGTTGAGAGGTTTACATTAACTTCCTTCTGCTTTCTGGGTTCTCCCTTGCTCCTGACATACCATAGTTTGAATAGTCATGCCAACCCAGACAAAACCAGAATCCCTTGCCCAGTGTCCCGGAGCAGTTTGTAGGCAGTTGCTGACATGTTACATGTTTATAGTATGATTCTAGAAATAGGTCAGCACTGGCTGCAGAACTGACAGGCAATAATAGCATGTAATCTGAAACTCCCCTCTGCCTTCATTTTCTTCATCCTCTTATGTTTTCCTCTTCTCTCTCCAGCACTGATGTTGAGGACCCTAGAGATAAAAAACAGTTTGACTAACTGACATTTAAGAGGCATGGTGATCACAAGTATAAAGGGTATAAATACCAGTGATATGTATTAAAAGGCTGAAAGGGTCATATAAAAAGGTATGTGTTTATGGCAGAATTATCTAGGGATCTTACCTTTTTCTAGGCAGACACCACTGCCTGTCACCTGAAGCTGGCTCTGCTTTCGGCCCAGCCAGCTGATGAGGGCTACAGGCTAAATCAGAGGTAGGCTCTTCCTCAGGGTGATGGCATCCACTCTTGTTTTGTTTTGTTGTTTGGGTTTTTTTAAGTTTGGGTATGTTTTGCAGCAAACAGCTTTTCCCAGCCAAGCCTGGTTGCAAGCACTTAGAATGAACTCTGCAGCACATGCGTGCCCACAGAGTCATGAGCAGAAATTAAGAAGGGGATAATATATGGTGAGTACCAGGAAAATCTTCCTGACAGAGAGCATAACCAGGATGTGGCATTAATTCCTTGAGGAAGTGGTGAAAGACCTATCACTTGGCACATTCAAAATGGGATTGGACAGAACACAAGTACATTTACAACAGGGAGCAATCCTGCCCTGGCCCCCAGGGATGCACAAGATAACCTAATAAGTCTTTTCCATTTCTAGATTCTCTGATTCTCTGTGTCTTGTCAATGCTGGGAAGCTTCCTCCTGCTCCACTGCCTGTCATGCCACTGTCTGCTTGAAGATGTTTTTCCCAGACAGCATGTAGAAATTCAATGTTCTCCCTGAATTAAGCAGCAGTGCTCTGTAGGCTTTGGCCTGTGGGTGTCCAGAGAGTGCCATGTCTAGGGAAGCTGGTAGCTCCTTTTGTTAGGAGGTGGAAAGACTTCTGCAAACAAGCTTTCTCTGTCTAGCTGAAGCCTCATTTCCAGCACTAATGCAACAATAGGGAGGGCTCTGTACATCATTTTTATTATATGGCAGAACCCAGGGAAGTTCATTTTTCCCCATGACATATAGACTTATGCTACAGTCTCAATTTATCCTTCTAAATAATGTAGGTGGCAGTGGTTGATTCACATTAGTTTTTCTTCTGTTCTGATGATATGAAAAACTGAGTTTGACCTCTGCAGCTTGAACCAGCAAGAAGGGAGAAGGCAATTTCACCAGCTATTCTCAGTGCCGCTCTCAGTGGTCGTTTTGAACCATGGCAGGCAGAAATGAGTTCAAATCCTTACAAGGAAAGGGGTTAATGTTTTCTTTTAGTTCAGTATATGGTTTGTGAGCAGAGTTCCCTTCTTACAGGGAATCCTAACCAGCAGAATCTGAGCACTTGGAGGCACGTTAAAAAGTATTCCCACATTGCCTGGGGGAAGCAGGCTGAGCAGCAGCCGCTTCAGTGTCTGGCCAATGGCCGTTCGCTCCTGCAGTGCCAGCTTGCTGTCATATGCATCCTGCTTCTTTCTTTCTCTGCATCTCCGTCTTTTAGCCTGCATACGGGGCCCAGTTAGGGGAGTTTAGATGTGACCAGTTCTGCAGTCGTCTGTACTAGGCAAGAAGTTGGATGAAAGACCAGCCTCCCAAGCCAAGTGGTGCTGGACACCAGTGGAGTAGGCTGAGCAGATGAGAGAAACCCACCTCACACCCAGCGCTCACTTCCACATCGTAGGCACTCCGCAGGTTCCCCACGTAAATTGCTACTCTGTGTGCTCTGGTGATTATTGCAATTATTTAGACGTGCCCCTCCTGCATCTGGCACTTTGGGGATGGGATCAGATCATGTCGCAAGGAACATGCAGTCTGGGCTAAGCAACTGTTCCTGACCCAAAGCTGGAGGAGCAGACGCTGCCGGGACAAAGGGAGGGTGGCTTTCACGAGCGCTGTGTGGCAAAATGGGTGTATTGCATTGGTGTGTATCTTTGATGTCTCAGACTGAGTTTCTAATCTTTTTGTATCATGTGTAATGAAATCTGAAGGGCACTGACGTGGAGAAAGCTGACGAAAGGCGAAGTGTTTTCTCAAATGGGGATGTCTGCTGGAAGGAGGGGTGGTGAGGTGGGAGAGATGGGACTCTGCCAGTTTCTGCAGGAAGGTCGCAATTTGTTGAGCGTTTGTAGGCTTTGTGTGCATCAGATAAGAAACAAACAGCTACAGTTAGTGTGCTTTGTGCTTGGCTGTTTTGATTAAAGGCTTATTAAAGGTCCTTTTATTAGACAGGAGTCCCATACAAAGCTGTAATTAATATGTGTGTATGTGTATGTTTTTTTCCTTTATTGAAGCAATGAATATAAGTGGTTGGGGCGGTTGGAAATACATAAGTAGCTGGTTCCCTGTACATTAAAAAAATAACAATAATCAATTTCACAAGCTTCTAACAGCAGACCGGGTACCTTTTGGCTGCATGCTGGTACCCTGTGGGTCCAGGGAACAACATCACGATATATTTATCCAGGAAGATACTTTAAAAGCGTGGGGCATGGCCTTCCTTTTCTGAGGCTGGCTGTTCGATTACCAGATTTGCCATAACCTGAATTGTCTGTGTCATCTTGTTTGTGTACAGGAGCTCTGCAAATAGAGAACAGCGAGGAGTCAGACCAAGGCAAATATGAATGTGTTGCAACCAACAGCGCAGGAACCCGCTACTCTGCCCCAGCTAACCTTTACGTTCGAGGTAAGAGCAGCTTCCACCCAAGGGGGTCACTCTCCTCCTGCCCAAAAGGCTCCATGGCTTTCATTGAAGGAGCGTGTTCCCTGTCTTAGTGCCCTGATCACACTTTGTGGTTTGTGTGATGTGGCCTTTTGCTCAAAAAACAGCAGGATCTTTGATCCACGTTGGATTTGACTCATTTCTGGAGATCTGTTTTTGCTGTTTATATGGTGTTATGTAAAATGCTGAAACATGGATAGAATTGGAATTCCTTTCTCCCTTGAACTCCTTAACTTTGTATCATAGTTATTTTAATTGGGTGCTTAATCCTCTTAGTATAAACTAACCTTTGGTGAAGTAGTATAAAACCAGTCATACTCTTGATGAGCGAGAGGTGCTCAGCTATAGGTGAGCTGACATTTAGGCCTCTGCTTTGGGATGTGTATCTTTAAAAACTGAACAGCTTTTTGGAGTTGTCCTAATCCATCTTATATGCATCAATGATTGAGCCTCTGGGTACTAATGGCTCACACTGGGAACCTGCTGGAAATTAGCTGCAATTCATGTAAAGTAATTTTTCTAATGGTTATGCTATGTTGTCGATTTAAAACTGTTTTCAACATACCAGAATAACTAGGTTTTACATCAGGACAGTCTCCTGCCAGTTTTCTTTCTCTACATTAAAGGTGCGTGAGTTAGCTTGGAGAGAAGCAAGGACTAAATTCCCTGTGCACTTTCTGTTAATTTCAGCAAGAAAAAAATGTGCTGCTTCATATGAAACTGTATAACCAGAGCCACTGGTCAGGAACCCCTGGGAAATGTAGTTATGGATTTTCCCAAGAAGAGAAAGAAGATTCTTGTGCTGGTGCAAGCCATTGTTTGCTAGGAAGTTAGAACCAGATTTTATTTCCACATAGTGAATCAACCGTCTAATAATAAAAATCTCATCTTCATTTCTTCCTTCCTCTGTTTCGAAGAAAGAAAATACAATCTTACAGCTATATATGCATTGGTTAGTATGGAAAGAAGACATGAGAATGATTAAGTCTTCACATGCTGTGTGTTTGCTTCTAGGGGTGGCTTCTGGCATTGTTTTCTTTGCTTATTCTGGGGGACTGCTTTTTTATTTTGCAGCATAATTTGGATTATAAGAGTCTTTGGAAGACTGAAGCATCCAATTAAGCATATTCAGAAGATGAAGCTATATCTTTGCAGTGGAATCACTCATTTCACTCTCACAGTGTAATTATGGATGATTTTAAACTCTCTGTATTCTTGCAAGTTCATTTTTCAGGCAAGCTGTACTAAAACTCATCCCAGATTGTCACTTTGCACTCTGAGGGAAAGGATCCTAGTTACCAGGTTGGCTGTTGTTGCATAGGTTTGTGCGGATACCCAGCTGTTTTGCTGCAGTATTTGGGATGTTTTTGCTTCCTGTGACATGCTCAGACTCTCAATGTTCTGTTTTCTGTAGAGGTGTGGCTGAAAAAGGGCACAGGAGCTTCAAGAGGTAGAAAAACCTCCTCTTACAACTTTCCAGTTTCTTACTAATTAATGCTCTTTATTTAGCAAGTAAATCCTGTACAACTGAGGAGTGTACTGAATTTTACGCTTGGCTTGCTGCTCAGTAAGGCTCGTCTGTCCTGTTTGGGCAAGGCATGGGCCTCGGGTGGTCTGCACATGAGAGATGATCTTGACGTTCACCGACGAAAGCACTTTCTTAGACATATGCTTTGCTGTTAACTGTCATTTTCTTACACATAAATTTTTGGAACAAGCCTTTTTATTGCACATAATCTTTAAAATGTCAGTCTCCAACCTGTGTGATCCTGATAAAGCCCTGCTGTATATTTAAGACAGGATACCCCATAAATTATTATCAGATGAAATTCACTGTGCGTACTAGGTCCTAGATGGTATTTGTGCTTACAGTTTCTGATGGAAAATGTTCTTTAAAAAAAAAAAATCATATTGTTGCTATATTAGTTAATGACCTCAAAAAGTTTGTCAAACCAAGAACTATTTTATTTCTTTAACAAGCAAGGAAATAATGAAAATATCTTACTTTCTCAGGTCTGAGATGCAGAATAAAAGAACCCCTGGTTTTTCCTCTTGTGATAGTCCTACAATGTTGTCATTAGATGGATCAGTGACTTCCAGTAGGGTCTTCAGAAAGTGCCTGCATTTTAACTAGAGAAGACATTAATTAATGCTAAATTACAGTGGAAATTAAGTGTGTCGGCCGCACCGCCACTGCATGGTGGTTTCATAATGATTGACCTCATTGCGGTGTGAATACCCAAGAAGTTGGCCACTTTCTTGGAAAGCATGGCTGAGTCCTGAGCAGCACTACTAATTTCCACCCTGTGTAGTTCTCAGGATTGCTTGTGCCTGCTCTCATTTACAGCCTATTGTTTTTTAAATAGTTCAAATGTTTGTTTTTCTCTTGACTCCTGGGATTTATGTTTTTGGTCATGTCGTCCCCTTTCCTAGCCTCCCAGGTGGTCCTTTGTGAGTGTGCTGCGCTAGAAAGCACAGACTCATTAGTATCTCTGTCGTACTTTTCATGCTAACAAAGGAAGATACTGGGTGCTGAGAAGGAGTATCCAGGCACTGCTCAGGGCTTCCTACATCAATGAAAGAATGGGAGGAGGAAGGAGCAGGCTACGCCAGTGTCTTGCCTCCGTGAATCCTTCAGAGCCAGCACTTCTGCACAGATGGACTTCATTAAAGGTTAAAACATTTCCACACCAGGGATTTGTAAAGGAAAATGGATGCATTTTACTTGAAGCTATTATTTTCATCTTACTAACTGTGCTGGAAAGCAACCCTTGTAAGCCATCTCCTTCTGGACTGACGGGTTTATCTGTTTGCTGCTGCAAAGCCGGGATGGGGCTGGGGACCAGTGCTGGGAGCTGACTGCTTCCCACTGCTGCTCTTCAGCCCTCCTGCGTGGAGGGTTGCAGAAAACATCCAGACCATCAGAGGAGCAAGAACAGAGTGAAAGCAAGAGTGGGGAGCATGCCAGGGCAAGGTGGCTATCTGGGGCATAGCAGGGGCTTCAGAGGGGGCACAGTGGCATATTCCTATCCTGCCCTTTCAGCACAAGCATGCTTGCCAGTGCTGGTCTGGATGCAGGAACACTCATCCGTTTGTCATCTATGGTTACATGTACCGCAGTACATCATGACAATTATTAGATATGGGACTTGATGGTACTACAGGGAGAAAGGAAAGGAATAGAAATGTATGGAAGATGTGATTCCTCTAATCCAGAGAGTTTACTGTCTAATTTAGCATCAAAAATCCAAGAAGTTGATTCAAAACATACAAGAAATCGATTTAAGAATAGAAGGAAGATTGGACCTAATGTGGAAGGAAAAAAAAAAAGGTGGTGTCATTTCATCATGATTACTAGGAGCACAGTATAATTGCACTGATTCACCTACACTATTGGGTTTTTATGAATACGTTTCACTCTTCATTTGCCTACAGCTTCAGGGCCATGTGCACAAAGAGGAGCATTTTCAGCCAAAAGTCTTGTCCTATGAAATGCCTGTGAAGGTGGTGGTCTGTGTGGAGCTCCCCTCAACAGAGGCACTGTTGTTTTGTTGTTTGACTGTTTCCCTGTACAAAAGGTTTTTTCTGCCCTTCTCTTTCTCTACACGTGGCATTATTTTTTTTCCTACTTCAATGAAGCAGGTGAACAGGAAGACAGTGTATAAGCATATCCTCATTAATACACTGTGGAGTTCACTAGGTGTGTTCCCCAGTGCTGCTTACAGCAGTGAGCAATGCAGATGCTATTAGAATAGTACTTATGGGAGCATTGGCTGCACACTTCCCATCAAATGAGAAAGCTGCTGCCCAGTTTTCACGTCTTAAGTGCTGCTTTTCAGGCCTTCAGAGCACAGTCCAGTGGGGCAAGTGCAGCAAGTTCCCTGGCCCAAAATGCTATACACACTGTAGAGAAGCAGCTGCACAGCTGCTTTTAAAGGAAGATCATTTAAAACTGAATTGTCTCCTCTGTCCCCAAATCGCAAACTAATAAATCAGACTGCAGTAAATAGAAATGGTATTACTGCAAAAATCTGTGCCTTCTTGATCTGCTTTTTGAAAGGCCAGGCTAGCATTTCATTTGGCAGCAGGGAAACTTGCTTGGAGACTGAAGTTTTATTTGCCAAGTTTCACTAAGGAGCCATCATCCAAAATAAAATTAGGATTGTGGCTCTGTCCCTAGCAACGATTCTCTGGCCTCTGCAAGGTTTTATGCTTGGGCACTTGGCGCTAGCTTAGGCTTAGACACGGAGGGAGCTCACCAAAATGGCCACTTGCGGCTATGTGATGCTTACTGCAGTGGGGACCTTGTGTAAATAATAGTAATTCTGAATGACTGACATGGGCCTGGAGCAACAAGACTTGAAGCCTTTAAAAAGGACATTTTCTGCTTATGTAATATTAAAACAGCTGAAATAGCAACAGCAGTCGAAGCTCGAGGGTGTTGCCAGGAGAAGAGTAAAAGGTGAGGACAGTGGTCAAACAGTCAGCAACCAAAACTGGGGATGTTTGAAAAATGACAAAATAACAGGGAATACGTTTGTTCACAACCCAGCTGTATGCACACTTCTGGCAGTGTGCTCTGATAAACCTGCCTCTCATCAGGGCCCCTTACTTGACCAGAGTGGAGCACTGCCGGTCCTTGAGGGTTTGGCAGCGATCACAGACAAGCAGAGACTGGAGAGACTTGTGAGGGAGATGCCTGAATGACAGGAAACACAAATGGGCAGTTGAGTCAGAGCAGATGACCCAGACTGCTGCTTCAGACAGAAGTCTGCCCTGGGCCATCAGAAGCAGCAAAACCAGGCTGTGATAGAGGCCACAGAGTAAACCACCCCTCAGCAGTTGGTACGTGGCTGAGGAGGGCTACGGGTCTGAAGGGCCACAATCTCCCCGTGGACACTCTGTGCAGTCCTGACCTCCAGATAATGCTGCAGTACAGCAATGCAACACAAAGCAATGACCCTTTGATGAAGAAAGTGTGCTCCTTTTTACGCGATTTCAGTGTTTTTAACTTCATTTCCTCTGCCCCCGGGCACTGCTCCATGCTGAAGCAACTGCTATAGCCAAAGTCAGAGCAGCTGTAGTTCGGGCAGATGCACTTTGGCTGGTTGTAGCAGACTCAGGGTGAGCGCAGCCGGCGGCATGGCCAGAGCTGTGCAGCACTCAGCACCAGCAGACATTTGCTGCTCAGTCAGCACTGTGGCTCGTGCCGCAGCGACTGTGCATACCTCGTACTGGAGCTGGCTGGCTTCAGAGCCACGGAGGCACGTAGAGGCTTCTGCCAAGTTTTCTCTTCCCCGTATATTACTATGAATATTTTTGTCATTTTCTCCTGAGGTGAAGTGTGTTCACCGTCAGTGTTTCTGTGCGCGTTTTGCTATGCTGTAATGATTATAATGATCACGGTTTAATAAATAATAGTTCTTTGTCCTTCTGCTAGCACATTTCATCTAAAGATTACAATGTGCTTTAGAGAACTCAACTAAATAAGCTTAACAGTTTTATTCCTTGCAAAGTCCTTTGATGGTTAAAAGTGCAATGCAAGGCTCGAGTCTGATTATTTGTAAAATGACCTTTATGGAAAGTAGAAGGAGAGTGGCTGGTGGCTCAGTGCATGATAATGCAACACAGAAATGGACTTGGAAACGTATTTCCCCCTCCTCCCCACATGACCTGCATAGACGTCTGTGGAACAATTAGGCCTGCATATCTGTGCCGACTAAATGTCCGTTCCCTCCCCTTCCATATCCACTGCCACAAAGGGTTAGGAAATACATCTCTGGTGCTCTGAGATTTTCTGCTCTTAATTGAATTCATGCATGCATGTGTGTGCACTGTGAATGGGAAAGGATGGTTGGGCGCCCTGAGCGTCCTGTCTGTCTCTCTAGGATGGAATATACTCATCACTGTGGCATGAGAACATTGTTCATCGCACATAATGGGAGGTTGTCTTATTCTCATGTAATCTGGCGTAAAAAAGACAATCTGTCCTTTTGTTCCTCTATACCTCTAAAAGCTGTAAAGGATGAAATTTGATTTATGTGGAGTCCTTGAGACACAAGATGTGCTTTTGGAGATAAGCAGCAATAGGTTCATCCCTCTCTGGGTTTTCGTTAACCCCTGTATCTTTTGGATTCCAAAGTGTCTGGGTTTGCCTTTATATTAATGCCTTGCATAGCACCAGAGGGTTTTCAGCATAGGACAGATGCTGGCAGTTCCCAGCAGGATTGCAGAGCCAATTGGGATAATGAACTTTCTTACTGCTTTCAGGAAAGTATTAGCTTCTCACTCTGAAAAGGTTTAGAAATGTGTTCCTTTGTTTGAGCTAGTGATCTAAACTCTCTGACCTGTGCATTCGTATCCTGGCCACAGCTCCCTGCCTTGTTTCAGGGAGCAAACGCCCAAGAGCGCACAAAAGCAAGAGCCTCCCATAAGCCCAAACTCACTCTTTCTGCAACAAGCTGCTGTGGTTAGAGTATTGCTGCTGCTGCATAAGATGAGTATGTCTGTGGCAGGGTAAAAGCCAAATTCAGTCGGCATGGGAATGTCTGCCTGCAGACCGCTGGAGCCATCTGACAGTCAGGACTGGCAGACGCATCTCTGATACAGCCTCACTCTTTGCTGCTTTGCTGTTTCAACTTGGATCTCAAAAGGAGCCCCTGTTTTTACCTTCTGGAGTTTGCTATCCTCTGGTGGCATTTCTGCTGTGACTTGACTTGCTTTGTCTTGCACGTAGACTGGCATGTTTAAGATAGCTGCCAGGCAGCTCAGGTTCGTGGGAACACGCTAGCGTGCCTAGTGAGCCGTGGTATTCTGCACAGGGGATACTCTGGGTAACCCCAACCTTAAATCCTCTGCCCCTATATGGGGGGCAGATGTTATTTGCTGTCACTGCTCAGAGTCATTTGTTTTGTAAAAAAGCGGAAAACCTGTTAGTAAAACATGCTGCTTAGCTTAGGAGTGACACGGATTGAGAACTGGAGATAAGGGAGCATGTGAATGGGATCTGTAAGGAGATGAAACTTTCAATTTACCATTTATCAGGTTTATCTCAGATAAAGCAGCAGCTGTTTAAGCAGTAAGTAAAGGGAAAGGAGAGAGAACTTTCTGCCCAGGTGTTCCCTCTTGCCTTACAGCTGTTCCAAAATAGCCTGCTGCTGGTTTTTATTCCCCATAAGCCACTAATATAATAAGAGATTAAGAGATAATCCAGCAATTAGTGACAAATAGCAGGCCCCAAACTTGTTCCTGTTTGACAGACCAGAAAGTAATCTGTTTGAATTAGCGTGTTTCACATGTGTCTCCTCACCTTTCCAACTCTAATCTGAAGTGTCAACACGTGGGGAAAGCCACTGCCGGAGCTGCCTGGTGTCCATGCACACTGAAGCAGTGCAGTCCCTGCCAGGCTCCCCAAAACAAAGCTCCTGGCCATGCCCCCGCTGCAGCAGCACCCCTCTCCATGCCCGTGGGCAGACCAGGTGGCACTGAAGCAAGTCGCCTTGGTGTGGCTGGGGGCCGTCAGCCCTTCCCGAGGGCAGGGGGAGGCTCTGCAGTTGCCGCACCTTTGCAGCAGGGCAGGTGTTCCCATAGCTGTTTCAGCATCATTGCCCAGTCTTACACCCTTCACCAGCCTCTTGCCGTTCAGTTGCACAGTCCCAAGGGGTGCAGCAGGTTGGTCCACGTTTGCAGCAGTTGGAGTTTGTGTTGCCCCACTGAGATGTTAGTGCTGCTTTCCTGAAATGCAGCTGTTCACGGGTACGCCTGGTTTGCCAGAAGCACTGTCGTTCCCGGGCAAGGGCAGGAAACAAATCCTCCCTGTTGGGAAGAGCTGAGCAGAAGGCTGAAGCCCTTTGCTGTCTGCTGAGGCCATGCAGATGTGATACGCTCCATTAGATTAGGAAATAAAGTGGTGGCTTGGGAGCAGCAATAAAGAGGTTCCCTCCCATCACAGGGTCTCACAGGATTAAATGAGCCTTATGTTAATGTTTTGTGGACCAAGAGGTAAATCCCCTGTCTGAAGCAGGCCGGAGGAAACCCGGGCTTTAAGTTAGGACTGGTTTGAGGATGTCTGGGTGCGGGTCCTTGCTGGATTTGGCCCTCACTTATGGGCCAGTTAAGCTCCGAGTCGGCCGGTTCTGGTCCCCTGGTATCAGTTCAATTGAAGAAACATAAACAACTGTTTTGCTGTTCTCCTGCAAGCTCCATTACACTTCGTAGGCCACTGTTGTAGCTGTTATTGGCAGTTTGTTGCCTGGTCTGTACCATGTCAGTGTTGGTTAAAATCCTGTCCTCTAATCGCTGGAAATGGCTGACTGTACTGTTGCACTGTATAATGCCACATGCTGTTCTCTAATTTGCCGTGTTTCTGCTCGAAAGCAAATTCCTCCCCCCGCCTTCTCCTTTCCCCATCAAAAATGTGACTCATAAGCAGTCTTTAACTGTCAAATCTACTTCTCTATTCTCTCAGCGAGGGTTCAATTACAGCTGATACGCCATAGATCTGTAGCCGGAGTGAGGTCACTCCTGCTACAGAAATAAGATCTCCTTTGCCTATAAGGAAAATGCAACTAACCTTCTACTGTCTCTCCTGCAGGAACAAAAACTGGGACCTGCTCAGTTCTCTCTGGGTGTTTTTGTCCTTCTGATTTCTTGTCCATCTCTCACTCACAGCACAGTGTACCAATACGGCTCTCCGAAACTGAGCCCAGCTGAGACTGCGCATGTCTGTCACTTGCCTAATACCTCTCTGCTGCATTTAGCTCTTTGTTTGGAGAGGGGGAGCAGCTCTTCATGGTAGAAGATTTTCCATTCGGCACTTGGAACATTTCTTTCATACTTGATAAAATTCGGATCTACGTATATGCTCTTCTCAGAGTGCGGTCAATGGGTTTAAAGTGCCTTTGCCATCATCTTTATAGTTGGAGTGGGTGTGCGGGAGCACGTCGGTCTGTGATGGCTGGAGTCCCTTGCTCTGTGTGTGTGCATGAGTGTTTTGCACATGTAAATGTGTCTGTGCTTCCAGCATCTGGCCCAGCGCCGGGCCGTCCCTCAAGTGCCCTCCATGTGAGTACGTGTGGGGCGTGCGGTCCCCTCCACCCTGCCTCGACGAGCGGTGAGCAGGTCAGGGAGACAGAGGGGCTGGCCCTGCTCTGGTCCAGAGCGGTGTGAGTGTGGCACACTCTTGTCCACGACACGGAGTGGTGTGTGTGCACGGTGGGAAGTCATGGCTGACCTCTGTAGTCTTGTCTTGTCGTTTCAGTGGTGTGCGGACAGATGAAGCTTGGCCTGTTTTTACTCTCTGTGTTTTTCCTTGTCTTTTTTTATTCCCTCCTCATCTTCATCGCACTCTGCCATCAAACAAAACAAACTTTCATCTCTCAGATCAGCGAGAAGGTTGGTCCTTTTCACTTCTTATCCATCTACAGTACGCCACATCAGATGGGACTTTTCCAGTAGGGAGAGGAGAGCCATCCCCAAAAGGGAAGGGGGCCCTACAGAACTCTGGCTCCCTTCTAGGCACGGCCACAGTGTGCCTGATGGAATCTGCTTAATGTTTGCTGTGACTCTGGTGATGGCATTGATACTTTGCTTGCATGCCTTTGTTGCTTGAGATTCAAAATGCACAGAATATATTTTGCATGCAAATACCAGCGAGGGCGGTTTTGTTTAAAGGTAGGGTGGGAAGAAGTGCATGCTACTGTATGTGGGGTCCTCCTCTAACCCATTACCTGTGCTAGGTGCCAGTCTAATGCCTCTAAACTGCTGCTGCTTTCTGGCCAGAGATCAAGAGCAGTCTTTGGAAACAGAGATCAGAATGATCTCCAGTCCCTTTGCAAGCTGCTAGGGAGAGTGGGTTCCTCAATTTCTCCTGTAGCTTTGAAAATTTTAACTTTCTCTAGAGGCTTTTTGCCTTACTTTTGATCTCAGCTGGAGAAGAACCCAGCATGCTGCCTTCCCTTGCCACAGGGCAGCGGGAGCAGCTGGTTGAGAGATGCCAAGGCCCTCATGCTGAGGCAGCTTCCCTGCTCCTTGGCAGTCCCCACTCTGGGGGTGGCCAGTTCTCCATGCTCGGACAAGGGCGCTTTGCATGAGCAGGTCCGCCTCTCCTTTCTTCCCTGGGGCTGGGTCTTTCTCTTGCTGGCAGGAGAGCAGGGAGCTCTGGCAGCGGCCCCAGCCTTGCCTAGGATGGCTCGGGGAGGCCCATGGTGACGTGCGCAGGAGCTTGTAGCCGCTCAGCAAAACCTGATTTGTGCTTTGCCCTGCCCCTTCCCACTGCCCTCAGACAGCCAGAGGTGAATAAAGGACAACAGTGAAAGGCGACTCCAGCTTTTAAATTAAATCTAGCTCCAGACCTAGCTTGAGGCACTCATGATTTCATGCTGAGGAAAGCTGGTGGTTTTGGCAGAGGTCCTGAGCTAGTTTCCAGAGATGACTCCTTCACTGAACAGGTACTGCACGGGTCCATCCTTCCACATGCGCTGGAGGAGAGGGATGCTCGCAGCGGCTCTCCAGCCCAGCGCTGCTCCCGGGTGGCATGGGCAAGAGACCCTGGCTCCTCTCACACATGCCATCAGGCAGCTGTATGAGTTGATCTTATAGTCATTGGAACAAATTTTAACTCGTCGTCGTTGCAGTTGTTCCAGTACACTGACTTCACCCCTGTTTCTCTCCCTGGAACGTGCTCTCATTTAGATTGTACTAAGGCACAGGGCCCTTGTTGTTTACCCTCTAAAAATAGATTTCGTAGAGGATAAAATTACCTGAGCCCAAGACAATGATGAAAAATGAGAACAAGGAAGAAAAGAGAAGAAATTAAAGCCAAGGCCCAAAGCCTCCCAGATTTCAGTGAATTTGGAGCACCGCTGTGATGGCTCAGGCACCTCTGGAGAATAAACCTTTGACAGGGCACTTAAACGTTTTAGCCGCGTGGTTTAGCTGAGGGGAAGCAGCCGAGAATGGATATAAGCCAGTGGGAGCGGATAATTTCTCATTCTTTGTGTTGACTCCACCTTCCCACCCCACCAAAAATACCCACGTACACAAATATTTAATGTGAAGCCAGAAATTAGTTTCTAAATATTCCATTGGGATTTGCCATGCTTATAATTTGTTTGGCACTGATAATTACATCTTACATTTTTCCAGCTTTACTTAAAACTGTGTACTGCTCACCCATGCATTTAATTATTGCTCTGTGACTGCTACAAGGTTATTTATTAACGAGTTATTTTATCTTGATACAGTGGATCTTTTCTCTTATTCCCCTCCTTAATGTTGTGTTACTTTCATCAGAGAAATTTCAGAGCGCGAATGCAAATTGCATAGCTCCACAATCTTGCTCTCCCTTACTTTGCTATTAGTATGTCAGTATGCTGAATGCTGATGTGTCTCCAGTGCTGCACCACTGTAATGATATATCCTCTTTTATATGTGGTTGTCAGCGCAAATAATTAGACCTAAAAGTTATAGCTGAAATATAATCCAAAAATGGCAAGGCCCTGTTTTGGAAATTGTCTATAAAATGTCAGCACTCAAGGATGCATTGGGAGCATAAATAGTACAGCATTGTTTGAGCACAAGATTAGACTGTAAATGCATTTTTTCTGGTTCCAATTTTTCCTCTCCTGCTGCTGATTCTGTCAATAGATTGTGAGACTCCAGCAACTGCCTTTCCATTTGAAGTCCTTCCTTAAAATGATAGCACTAGGGAGAGATGAAAGGTGTCTACAGATGAGTAAACCATGCAGACCGATGATTGTGTTTGAGGATATCTCCTAAATTCACTCCTTCCCGACTCTGAGGAGGTGGTTCCTGAGGAAGGCAGGAGTTTCGGGCAGGCTAGCAGTGTGGCGAGGGCGAGAACACACCCTGTGCTCTAAGGATCCTCCACCTTGCCTGGCTGGAGTAAAGAAATTGGGCAGTGTCACCTTCTCAAAGATGTGCCCCCACATCGCTCTCGGGAGGTTAGAGCAGAGCCCTCCAAACTTGCCTTTGCTGTGCTGGGGGCCAGGGAGGAGCAGCACAGCCCAGGAGTGCTGGTCCTCCTTCAGAGCGGACGGGACTTCAGACTGCTGCTCCTTCGTGCAGAGGAAGAGCAAAGAGGAGAGGACGTCAGGACAGTGGTGCAGGACCAGAGCAGCTGGGATTGTCCCAGAGAGGAGCGGAGAAGTGCGCAGAGCACGGGCGCAACTCTCCATCACCATGGGGCAGCACCCAGTGAGCCTGCGATGGGGGTGTTGGGAGGGGGAGGATGGAGCCCAGAGTTAGGTGCCAGCTGGGCACGGTGGGAAGGAAACCCAGAAGCAAGAGCAGGCAAGTAGAGGTCCCTGCATCTCTGCAAGCTAGAGGGAGGGGTGTTAGCATTGTCGTTTGCTCAGCTGTACTGTGGCCAAGGCAGCCAGCAGGAAAAACAGTTTGGTTTCCCCTTCCCTAGCAGCACTGTGTGGTTTTGGAAGCGTGGGCAGTCCTGCTGGCACTGCTGTGTTTCCAGCAGAGCCTTGCTGTATGCCAGCAGTGTCTCAGCATGCAAGAGAGGGGCTAACAGCACCGGCCTGTGAGCCCGAAGCGCTCGTGCCCAGAGCTCAGAGCCTACAACTCTTGCAGACAGCAGCAGGGAGGGGAGGTCCCTGGTTCTCCAAGGGGGTAACATCACCCTCAGAGGGAACCTGAGACGTTAGGAAACAGCCACTCCCGTGGTGAAAGGAGATGGGCAATCGATTCATGCTCTTTGCTCTCAAGGCAAGGAATGTGCATGTTAATGCTTGCTGAATTATTAACATTTCTGAGTCTCAGCCTTTGTGGCTGTTGTGTTGCCTGCTCCCCTCCTTCCTCCCCATGGTCCCCCCAGTGAGTGGGGAAGCAGTCTCCACGCTGTCCTTTCTCCTTGTCCTGTGGGATCCAGGGCACGGGCTCAGGTTGTGCTGCACTGCTCACTGCTCCGGGGTTTCACTTCACTTCCCAGGGAATGTTCTCTACGGGGAGGCGTGCTGAACAGTGGAGCAGCACAGAGCCTTTACGATGCCTATTCTTGGGATGAATGACAATGAATCTCATTTTTGACAGTCTGCCGGTTTAACTAAACCTCTGAATTATACTATTGTCCATTGAAATCATTTTAATATTCACAGCAATTTTCTCTGTGCTGTTCTTGCAAAACCTCCAAACCACCTTCTCTGATCTTTATCCAAAAAGAAGATTAAAAAAAAATATTGCAAATTCTTGTCAAGAAAATTGTAATAAAAAGGGAAATTTCATTGCTGCAATAAATGAAGAACAACAAAAATTTCTGGAGCACTTAAGGTAGCATCATGGGCTGTGCTAGCCCATGTGATTTGACTTGGAAATTGGACAGAAATTCTAAGAATGCTGCTTTTTGAGGAGTTATACTGATTTAAATTATTACCAGACTCTTATGCTAGAGAAGGAGGCGACTTAAATCGCTGGCTTGAGCCTGAGGAATGTGTTGATGGTGCTCTGCAAGCTGCTGTGAGAGCTCTGCCAGCTCTCGCTAATGCTAACTGACAGCATCTCCCCTTCTCCCTCTGTACTGACTGGGGCGAGAAGCTGCCAATTATCCCCCAAGAGGATGGGAGGCTGATGGAGCCCATCCCTTCCTTTGCACGCACTTCTGCCAGAGTATCGCCCGGGACAGATCTCTCACCGAAGGCATTGCCCTGACCCCCTCTCACCTCCCATGTTGAGAGATGACCCCTACACGTGGCATCCATTTTTAGCAGCTCTGCTGGTGTGCTAATGAGGGGAGGCCAGCCCAGCCATTCTGGGTCACAAAAATATACCACAGAGGCCTGTTTAACTGCTCATCTCTTGCCAGGCTTGAGAGCTGAGGCCCCACACAGCTTCCTGGCATGCCGCAGGCTGCGGTGTGCAGGAGGCACGGCCCGTGTTGAGGTCAGCAATGCTGCAGCCTGCCCACCCTCATGCGCGGTTTGATCTACAGGAGAGTTTTCTTTGCCATTCATCCCTTCCCTAGGCACATGAATACACCAACTACCTCTGCTGCTTCCCTGTGGGTAGGACAAACAAGGGAGAGCCACTTCCAAAGGTGCTCAGCCCTTCCCCTTGCCCTGCAAAGCGCTGCCGAAGGAGCCCCCAGCTCCTTTGGAAGTGCATCTCCCGTGCTGCGCACAGAGGAGTAAGGGGTGGTCAGCTGCCGGCTCCCCCGGGGAGAGGCGGCACTGCCTCTGCAGGACACATCAAGGGGGATGCGGCACTGATGGGGCTCGGCATGGCCCCAGGAGCACCCTGAAAGCAGTGCTTGACACGGGGGCACAGTGCGGGGTGCAGGGGAGTCTGCAGCGGGCTGCGCTGCCTCTGGTCTCACAGGGCTGGGAGGCAAAATCTGTTTGTGCATGCTGGGCTCTGACCTTTCTGCATGGCCTCTTGTCCTCCGGTCTCCTCTTCCCGTGTTCCTGTACGTGAGTTCCTGCGCACCTTCCCTCTCCCTGTCCTCCCTCACGCCGCTTCCTCTCTGACTGTAGTGGCCTCCAGTGCCTGCCAGCCTGTTTGCCTGGTGCATGTGCGCGAGTGCTCTGTGCACACCTATGGCTTTATCCTCAAAGTTTGCTCTTTTTTATTTTAATACAGTGTGGGTGGGTGGGTTTGGTTCTTGGATGGGGACAGAATTTGAACAGCTTCTACTGAAATAATTCGACGCCATGTTCATTGGAAAACAAAACCTGACTCTTAATGAATGGTGCTGGGATGCTTTGGTTGGAAATACACGCCATCATGTTAAACCATTGCCATGTCCATCAGGTTAACTCCGTATTCTCATGACTGTGTAGCAGTTGAGTAAACTTTCAGTTCTGTCTCGTTTGGGGAGTGCTGCCCCGTCAGACAGGTAACGCCTCACTGGCGATTGCTCATGTAGCTATTGATTTGAGACTTAATAATTGATTAAAAGAAACAACCAGCAAGACTTTGGATTTAGACATTCAAAAAAAAAAAAAAAAAGAAAAAGAAAAAAAAAGCAAAGCAAGTTATCCTTCCCCTGGCTGGTAAGGAGCTAATGAGCCCTGTTTTGTCACCGAGACGATGTGTAGTACACACACGATGTTGACAGTGTTGTCTAATTTATCACGAAGTCTTAGCTCTGTTGTACATGCTAGCGTGGGGGCTTCCATGTTCAGTCTATTTCTGCAAGCCTGTTGGTTTGGGGATGAATCATCAAAGAGAGCACTAGTGAAATTTGATTTGGGGAGAGTCAGCTTGGCAAGCGGAGCTGACACCTCTGCAGCTCGCCGGGCTGTCAGCAGCTTTACCGTCTGCAGAGACGCCATGGTGGCAGGAGCCAGGCCAGCAGAGCCGTGTCCCCCTGGACCCCCGGCGCCCGTGGGGCCGGTCGTGCCTGCAGCGTGTTGTGAGCTGGCACCGCTCAGGCTCCTGCCCAATTTCCATCTTGCCCCAACGCTGCGGCTGTTTGCTGCTCCGCCAGCCCGATGCACTGATGGAGGAGCGTAATTGGCAGGGAGAGGCTCCTCGGGAGCCGGTCAGTCATGAACCCGGCCGATGCTCTGGGGCTGCCTTCCTGGTGGAGGAGGCTAGAGGAGAACAAGGCTGCTGGGCGAGACACGGTCGAGCAGTTTCCCTTTTTAACTACAGACTAAAATGAGCTTGCCCAGAGGAGACAAAGATTTACCGAGCACAGTTGTTTCTTTACCCCTGCTTAAATAGGCCCATAACACTAACCCTGAAGAAGGGACCTCATTTCTCAGTGTCATTTTCCTGACGGGAATGCATATGGCAGGCAGCTTTAGAGCTTTATTGTAGCTGAGAGTTGCTTACAAATAAGTCTTGAATGAAATACCCAGCAAGGGATTGATATGAAGAGAAGCTGTGCGATGAAATAAGGAGGAATACATCTCCCAAAGTGCTGCCACAAAGGTGGGGAGGGTTCTGCCAACCCAGCTCTCTTCTGTCAAAATGGATATGATCTCACATCTGTCAGGATTAGTTCTCTCCTGCCCAGCAAGGTGATCTGTTCAGGCCCTGACAATGTCATGCAGCTCTGGTGACTTTTTTTCCTGAGCCAAGGTAGAACCTGAGTTACATTTTGAAAGGAATTATATTTTATTTATTTAGCAGCACACGTGTGCTAATTCAGAAAGAAGCCCTTCTGCTGCTCCTGCCCAAACCCTGCGAGGCTTAGGAGACGAGTTGCTTTACTTTAGAGCTAATAAATTGAGCAGGTAATTCCGTTTTGCAGAGCTTCAGTGGGCCCTGCACAGGGAGAGTGTGTGACTGGCATTTGTGCATGCTCTCTAATTAGAAGGATGTTATTTAAATGGAGGAATGTTTCATGTTAGTAATATGATTTCAAAAAGCTGTGTTTGGAGGGAATGGATTGAGCCATCCCTTAATGAGTTCTTCTAATAAGATGCCAGTGGCTAAGGAAGGAGAGCAAAGTGTGTGCAATTTGGCAGAGCACCGAGCAGCTTTTGCACTTCATTTTATCTGTCCCGAGGGATAGACAGGCAAAAATCTTGAACCCCCCCTCACGTAGCCCCGCAATGCAACTGAGTGCTCTCTGCTGGTTCTGTGACCCTACTAGCTGTCTCCTCCTTGTTGCAGTGCGGCGTGTTGCTCCTCGATTCTCTATCCCTCCGAGCAACCACGAGGTGATGCCTGGGGGGAGCGTGAACCTCACGTGCGTGGCAGTAGGTGCCCCAATGCCCTACGTGAAGTGGATGGCTGGTGTGGAGGAACTGACCAAAGAGGATGAGATGCCCGTCGGTAGGAATGTCCTGGAGCTGAATAACATCATGCAGTCTGCCAACTACACCTGTGTGGCCATCTCCTCCCTCGGTATGATCGAAGCCACAGCCCAGATCACTGTCAAAGGTAAGGAATTACTCCTCATGGTGCTCCTACTTGGGTTTCAATGGCGTAGCCCTTTGCCAAAGTGTTTTTGGGTGCAGCCAACTGACTGCAGTCTCCTGTGACTTTTCCACCTTGCAAGGGAGGTTCCCATACCCACAACTTTGTTTTTTCTGGCTCACAGTATAGTATTTGCCTTGGAGATCATTTCCTCTCTCCCTACATGTGGCATGATGGGAGACAGGCTTGTGTCAGGCTGGGTCCCTGTTATGCCACAAGGGAACCTCATTGAGTCTGTGCTCATCCCAGCAATTTCTGGCTTGTTCCATGTATTAGCAGGATCAGCTCAGCACAGCGGCAGGCCACGGGCTGTCCTGGGGCAGAGTTCTGTGGATGTCTGCATTCAGAGAGCTGTTTGCACAGAGATGTCCTCTTGCAGTAAGGGCAGGTCAAGAAGGTTAATCCCAGCAGTGTGAAGTGTCTGTGGGCCTCATCAGAACAAGCATCCTCCTCCTCTGTAGGGAGGAGCTATATGCATTCATTTTAAAATTGTTGCATATTCCTCTGTCAGTTTTCTTTTTTCCCTTACTGCTCTGACTCTTTACCTCTCTCTTTCTTTTGTTGCTGTCCTTAAGGCATGCTTCCTGTTGCCATTTCACAGGTGGCTTTGCCCCAAAGAGGATGTTATTGCTGGTTGCTGACCACTGGGTATAGGGCAGCCCACCCAGACAGCTCCCTTACAGGAGGCTGAAGTATGTGTCCTGCCTTTCCCATCTGGGGCCAAGCAGGTCCACACCATCCCTTTCCTCCGCTCCTTGCAATTGATTTGTAGCTCAGATTTCCACAGATATGTCATCTTTTGAGTCTGGCTGTTCTTGCAGGCCCCTTTCTGCACTATGGCCACCTTTAGGACCAAGTCCCTGCTTGAACAAATCACAGAATTGAGTGTTAGCCCTCTCTGACTTGGTGATTAACAGCAAATTCTCTTCTCCCTGGTGCTAGTCAGAGGATGCTTTTAACCTTAGCCACACACCGCTCCCTTTGCTCACAGAGCCTGCTAGTCAGTACCTTTTCCAGCCCCCGTTTTCTTACAGAGTGCAGGGGTTGCCTTGGTTATAGTACATACCCAAGAGTGTACGGAAGAAAGCGGAATGATGGGGAGGTGGTTTGGACGTGGAGGGAGGAGGTGGGGACTGCACCCTTGCACTGATGATTCCCAGTATTTACCTCTTTGTACCTGGGATGACTCTGCCTGGCTCCCTCTTTGGCTAACATGATGCCCACTGCTGCTCCAGGACTGTAGAGGCCCCCAGGACAGGGAGCGGTCTGCTCAGCTCCTTTAGCCCTTTGCCTTCCTCCTTGTTTCTCTGTCTGTCTTTTCTGCACCTTCACTCTGGATATCTTAACTGCCTCTGTCCCTAACTCTTTCACCCAGTGTTGCTTCTCCTGTGCTTGCTGGAAAGTAGACCGTTTGCCAGGCAGACAGGAGAAGCAAGATGGCACAGAGCTGATTGCAGTAAACGCATCGAAGGGACCAGACCTTCCCCTTGCTCACATGCAGGCTGCACACCCAAGAGCTGCAAGAGTCAAGAAGCTTGTGGCTCTCCAAAGGAAAGAGTAGATGTGTGTCATCTGTCCTTGAAAGCCTGAGGGAGGCTGCCAATTTCTTGGATGCTCTAGGAAATGTGTTACTTCAGGATGTAATATTGGGCGGGATGCATTTGCCCTCCCTGAGTCCTCCATGGGTAGTGGTGTGGTGTCTGGCTGTGGGTTGCATGCCCTTCCCTCCCATGCCAGCTCAGCCCTCACCAATTTTCTCAGTATTCATGTTGCAGTAGCACTGGAAAAGGCATCCTCCCTGGCACTTGGAGCAGGCATGCTCCTGTGGTAAAAAGCCTGACCTCCTCAGCTGAACCATGTGGAAACTGGAAACCTGATGACCAAAGAATGAAGTGCTTGAGGATCTTAACTTGGGCTGAGCATTTTTCCTAGTTCCTCATCAAGCACAGCTGCATTACAAGTCACTAATGACTTTAACTAGTGTGGTTCGTAGGAGGTTTAAACTTACTGTAGACTTTAATTCAGTCATTGTCTTAAAGTATTTGTGTACTCTGCAAATCTCTCACATGCACCCATTCTCTTTCTTTGTTCTTTTGGTAAAATGGCAAATCTGGAAATGTTTGCTTGCAGTCGTTGTGTTCTCATTAACACTTCAGAGATGTCAGTGTCACAGAGTTCTTCTGTAACAGTTTATTGTCTGGTTGCAGTTTGACACACCACCCAGTGAAATAGTGGATGTGAAAGTTGGTAATTTCTCTGGCTGTATCCCTCCTGCATGTACTGTAATACTTACAAGGCATTCCCCCATCAACCCATCTAACAGCACTGTCCATGAACTCCCTATGGCCTATGTCTCTGTGGAAGCAGGAGCGTAGCTCCAGATTACCTGTGGTGCTCTGATTGCTTTACTGTATCCCTTTGTAAATCAGCTGTACACCTGGCTTCTGGGGTCAGCCCAGCCCAGCAAGCACCTTCCCACTGCCAGCTGAACCCCCATGACAGAAACATTCCTGCATCCCCGTTGAATTACCTTTATTTAGCCTGCTGCTGGTAAGTGCGTCAAGCACGTCTAATAACATGATTGCTCTGTTTATCCTTCCATTAAGAACCACTTCAAGCAATATATGGTAATATAAAAATGCATGTTCTAGAGTATGAAATGATTTCTGCCTTTTAAAGAAGAATGTTAATGGGAGGTGGCAGCTCCATTTTTATCCCCGTGCACATTGCAGGGTTTGAGCTGACTAAATTATTTAAATCACACCTCTCTGCCTTCCAATTGCAGCACTGCCAAAACCTCCAACAGAGCCATTAGCGACTGAAACGACAGCTACCAGCGTGACCCTCACCTGGGATTCGGGCAACTCCGACCCCATTTCATATTATGTCATCCAGTACAAGCCCAAATCCTTGGAGGGTCAGTTCCAAGAGGTGGATGGTGTGGCAACAACCCGCTATAGCATAGGTGGGCTCAGCCCCTTCTCGGAGTATGAGTTCCGGGTCATCGCAGTCAATAACATTGGCAGGGGTCCCCCCAGTGAGCTGGTTGAGGCCCGGACAGGAGAGCAAGCTCCTTCAAGTCCACCCCTCAAAGTCCAGGCACGGATGCTGAGCGCCAGCACCATGCTGGTCCAGTGGGAGCAGCCGGAGGAGCCAAACGGACAGATCCGAGGGTACCGCGTTTACTACACCACCGACCCGCATCTGCCTTTGAGCATGTGGCAGAAACACAACACCGACGACAGCCACCTCACCACCGTGGGGAGCCTCATCACAGGGACCACGTACAGCATCCGCGTCCTGGCCTTTACTTCAGTGGGCGACGGGCCGCCCTCGGACATCATCCAGGTCAAAACGCAGCAAGGGGGTACGTATGGAGTGAGGTGTCGCAGCTCCGTGTCCGCCCCAGTGGTATGCAGCTCAGCTGCATGTCTTTTCTGCACCAGGCGTCGCAATTGCTGGTGCTGAAATGGTTGTATGTCAGAGTGGCATCCCCACCCCACAGCCACCAGATTTAAGCTGTCAGCTTGTCCTGGGGAGTTGGTATCAATCTCTGTACAAGTAACACAGCCCACAGTTTTGTCTGGGATACAGCGGCTAAAAATGTGACACAAGGTCCTGGATGTGGATGTTGGCACCTATGGAACTGTGCCAGGCCTTTCTGGGGTCTGAGTACACATGTGGAAGGAAGGAGCTAGGATGCAGTTGGGGCTGGAAGTGAGCGTAATTCCGATAGTCACCTGTCTGGGTCCCTGAGGTGCTTGCTTGTTGCCTGGGTTGTTCCAAGAGCACAGTACGGGGGAGAGGGAAGAAGGGAGGGTCCAGAAAGAATGAAAGAGGATCCTCGCACGGTGAAATGCAGACCCTGCAAAGTCGTGCAACTCCTTTCATTGCGTCTGCCTCCTGGCACTAACTATGTGTTTGGTCCCCAGTTCCCGCCCAGCCAGCTGACTTCCAGGCAGAAGCAGAGTCTGATACCCGCATCCTGTTGACGTGGCTGCCCGCCTCTCAGGAACGCATTACCAAATACGAGCTGCTGTACTGGGAAGGGGAGGATGGCACTCAGGTGAGTATCCTGCCTCTGCGTCAGCAGCACTTGGGGCCAGACGTCACAATTCAGCAGCTTGGGAAGGGTGTCTGCTTGAGTTGGGGTGGCAACAAGACTGTTTCTTCTCCATGTTTCTTCTGTCTCATGGGTGTGTGATAGGAGTGTGGCAATCTCTGTCTGGCTTCTGTGTAGGTGACCTCAGCAGTGCTTGTTAAAGCCCAGCAAAGTAGCTAGGGACTGGTTTGGGACTGGGAAGTCTCCAGAATACCACGACATCATCCCTGAGGCATCCTTACTGTTGGTGCCTTGAAACAGTTGTGCAGGCCATTAGGGCTTCCTGGTAGGTCTGAAATGTTCTCCAAAATATGTCTGCAGCTCCAGGACTGGTTACATTTAAGGAGTAGATTGAGGGTGGCCTAGAGAGAGCCCTTCCACGTTTACTGTCACGTTTAGGTCCCTAAAAGAAGTCCAGCTCTAAAGATATCAAAAGTAGTGCTGGCTGCAGGGCAGCGCAGTGAGAACTGTGCCATGGCAGCATCAGGGTGTCCCATGGACCTCTTCTCCTCCTGTATTTATAGTGACATGAGAACTGCCAGAAATAAGTGCCCTCCAGGTGAAGTGGCAGCAAAACAAGCCCTTTACCAGCACTGTTTAGGTGCATTAGAGGTGCCAGCTACTGCAGGACAAGGGCTTTACTCTGTTTCACAGGCAGGTGCTGTCTGTTGGGAGGAAACAAACTCATGTCTTCTGCCCCTCATCTGAACTGCATAGCTAGACCCAGCATTCCCACAAAGCTGTCAGGCAGTGAGTGCAGTCTGGACACCAGGCAGTGCAGCCTGGCTGTCAGAGAGGTTTCCTTTCCTGCAGAGTCCTTGTATTTCACCGAGAAAGGTCCATGCCTTGGAGTCCTGCAGGACTGCAGCAGGTTTGGCAGCATGGCTGTGACTTTCTGTGGGGCCAGGATGGGTATGAGGTTGCTTATTCCCTTGGCATGGGGAGCTGAGCACCAGCTTTTCTGTATTCTCTAACTACACCAAATAATCTTTGTTTCCTTTTATTTGCCAGCAAAAGGTGGAGTTCGACCCAACCTCCTCATATGCCGTGGAAGGTCTCAAACCAGACACACTGTATAAGTTCCGTCTGGGTGCCCGCTCAGAGCTGGGGGTAGGAGTCTACACCCCCACAATCGAAGCCAGAACTGCCCAATCCAGTAAGTTTCTGACACTCTGTGCTACTGAAGACAAAGCAAAAGCAGTCCAGTTTCCATCACCTGGTCACAGAGTAGCTCGATGCCTCTGCCCTTGTGGGTCTGCAGGGGTGCCGGCATGCAGTTTGCTAAAGGGTGTAACGGGGGAAGTCAGCTGGGGTTTTGGATCAGGGCTCTTTGGCAGAGGGGGTGCACCCAAGTGGTAAGTTCTTTCTTCATGTCTCTTTGATCGTGCTGTCTTTCCCTAAGGGTAGATTCATAAGAACTGATGGAGGAGTGAAACAGGCTGGGAAATTGCTTTGGAGGGATTGATTTGAGTGGGTTTGTGCATCTCTGTGAATTCACTCCCATGCAAACAAGCTGTCTGGACAGACAGCATATGGGTGTTTGGCTCTAAATGTGGCTGTCTCCAAACCATTGGATATTCACCCCTTCACTCCCCGTTCCAGCTGCCTTGCTTCTGCAGGGGTCCTTAACTGGTCCATGTACTTGATTGTGAGGTGAGGCATCCTTTGAGGCCAGATGTTCCTGTGGCTATCAGGCAGCTGGAGAAGTCAGTTTGGGAAAGTGGCTGATTGCCTGGGTTGTGTGAGCAAGTCAGGCTGCTGCTTCTGGGACTGCAGCGCTAGGGGAAACCAGAACAAGCTGCAGCCGAGTAATAGAGAGGCTAGATAATGAGGTGACCCAGGCAATATCACTTTCATCCTCGCTCTGCCCCATGTGATCACAGAGCAGGAGTTCGCATTGCTCTGATTGGCAGCTCAAAGTGCTGCGCATAAGCAGATTAGGGCTATCAAAGAGCCCTGCGATAAGCTCGTTTTCGCTAACTATTTTTGGGCTTGCCATTATGCAAAGAGCATTAAAAGGGGGAAAAAAGACATTTCCGTTAGCACCGTCTGTCTGGGATTTACTAGCTATGTGGGGTGAGCAGTTGGCAAAGGCAGCCAGCCTTCCCTGCAGGGAGAGTGCCAGCATGCACAGCAGCTGAGAGCCTGAGATGGCCATTAGAAAGGGAGCTCAGGCAGGGAAGAGCAGCTCTGCTCACTATTGGAACGACCTTCTCTTTGAGGAAAACTCAGCTTCATTAACATATCAGTCACAGGGATTCCTCCACCTCGTTAAGTGAGCTAATGGTGTCTTAGTGGTGCACAACAGACAGGTGTGAAGATGGAGAGAGGTTCAGATCATGCAGTTATAAATATTTGAACACTGAGAACAAATTCTGAGTGTGGGGATTTGTATACCTATTTCAGATAGCTTTTGTATTGATAGGCAAAGGTTGAAGCAACTCTCCTGCCACTTAAATTAATTCCATCAGTGGATGCTCTTATCCTTGCACACACTCAGTCAGAGACAGCTCCATGCATAAATGAGTCCTTCAGAGTCTCACAACTGTCCAAGTAAGAGAAACCATTGCTTCGTGGGTTCTTCAAGGCAGACATCTTCCCTTGACCTACTCCACATGCTGTCTTGCTCACAGGGGATCTCATACCAGTCTGTTTTTAAGGTTGTCGCTTCACTGGCCAGTGGAGCAGTGGCTGACTGTTTCTGGCATCTGTTTAGTAAGAAAGATGTGGACAGGTTGGAAGAGATTTGGCCAAAAGCCACAGGAATACTTTGGTTTGACCAGTGAAACCCTCCTCACATTGAGGGACCTAAGTGTTCTTCAGTTTATCCAAGAAGTGACTGGGTCTTGGTTTGCAGAACCCTACTAGAGAAGATTTCTGATGGCACTCTATTCTACAAGCAGAGTTCTTGGCAGTTACTACTGGGCTATTCAGTGAGGGTCACAACCCGCTGGCTGAACAGTCCCAGAGAAGAGTGGATTCTTGGGTACTAGAGGTCTCAAAGCCAAGTGGGTCTTGCAGAAAGCTCTGCTTTAGTTCAGCAGAAGTGTGCACAATGCACAACTTGCAGGCAGAAATTCTTTGGTCTGCACTTAACATCTCACATTAAATGGTTGGATCAGTCCCCTACGGCCTTAGAACTTTAGAAAGACTGTTGCTCCCAGCTTCAGATTGGTCTCCTTCCTGCACTCTTCCATCTGGTTGCCCTGAGAAAGGCTGTTAGATCTTGGAGGTTGACATGTTCAGGTGGGACACAAACTGCAGGAGCAGTCAGACTCCTGCTTTCCAAAGAGCCTGTCTTCAGGCCCTATTCCTGGCCCTGACAAACCAGTCAAGGGTAAGTTAGGAGCCACATCATCGCTAATGAGTCACTAAAGGGCTGGAGGACAGCTGTATTGCTGCTGCTGGGCTTTTCTTGTGGCATCCCTGCTCGGGAGTGGTAGGGATGCTTGTCCAGGAAGGCCAGAGGGATGCAGTGCCCCTTTGCACCCTTCCAGCAGCACAGCTCAGACCCCATCTCCTGAGAAGACAGCTGCCTTCTGAGCTGTCTTTCCTGCTAAGCTGCTTGCTTAGTTGCTGGGCACCCTGCAAAAAGTACAAGCAGTGCTGCTTTGAGGGCCTGAGGAGCACGGGGGAGTTTTCCAGGAGTCTGCAGTGCCTCAGGCAAGCAGTATGATGCAGGAGAGGAGTATCAGTTCTGTGCCCATCAGGCCTCAGCATTAAAATGCTGTTCTCATTTGAAATAGGAAGGTGGGTCTTGAGGCTGCCTTTTCCCTAGCTTAAGGAGCAGGTGAGCTGGATGGGTGACAGGGCTGCTGTGGGCTGGCGGGGGAGGCCAGTGTGAGTAGCCTGGAGGCAGCAGAGGTTTGCACAGTGTGCGTGTGGGTACATCTGCGTGTGTGGGTGCATGCTGGCCACCCAGTCTGCTCTTTGCTGGCCCCAGGAGGGACACTTCCACTCCTTGTGCATTTTAAGTTGATCCTGCTCATGTTACCAAGTTTTATTTTGCTTTCTTTAAGTGTTAATCTGAGTTTTTACCTTGCACATCATGTGTGTGACTCTTACCCAGTCAACAGCCAACATTTGACCTGCCCACACTGCCAGCCAAAGCTGCCTTTGGAGAAGCAGCTCACTGCTGCATCCCAAGGGATGCTGTGGAGGCCCAAAGCCAGAGCAAGTCTCTTCTGTGAAGGGCCTCTCTACAGACAGTGGCAAAGGAAAGGCTTGCCAGGCTCCTTATGTCTCACCTGTGCCCTCTGAGGGATGCTACTAGGTGCTATGTCTACCTTATGCCCTCCTTGAATTCACTCTTGGTGTTGCTTTGGTGCTGTATCTTCCTACTCTCTTCCCTGCCACTTCTCTGCTGATTAATCAAAAGCGTGTGAGGATTCATTTTCTACCCTTACTCCCTTCCGGTATACCAGATGGCAGGGCCATTCCCACTCTGCCTCCCTCACATAGGCAACGCAACTGTTTGCTTCCACACATTGCTTTGGCTTCTCTTTCCTCCAGTGTAGCTCCCATAGCAGCAGCCTGACTCTGCTCAGGCATCATCTCTTCCAGCTCCATCACTGTCCACTCTCCCTCCGTATTTCCTCTCTCCAGGCACCCCAACCCAGGCATCATGGACAGGCCCTGCTCCCCAAGCACGGAAGTGGGCACGAAGAGTTACGTGCAGCCTATGATGGCCTCTGCAAGCAAGTGGGCCTTGTTTCCAGGAAGCAGAGGTCACCAGTGGCATTGGGAGGTCCTGCTGTCCCCAGCTTTCCCAGATCTTCTCCCACTACCATCCTATGCCCAGCAAAGCCAAGGCACAATTGTTGGGTGCTTTCATTATCTGAAGTCCTTCCTGGGTACCCATCAGGGGTAATGTAGGTTGCGTTTGCCTTTGCACAGGCGATGAGCAGACAGACTTGTCCCTGTGCCCCTGGAAGGCTGGCTCCGGTGCACTGATGGCTTCAAGGACTGTGGCATGGGGAAGGGCACCAGTCTTTATTCAGGCATTTCTAGGTTGATGGTTGCAGTGAAGAATGGAAGCAGCCTTTCACCTGCCATGGCAAAGCAAGATACTTTGTACTCCGTTACTGCTTGGCCAGACAGCTTCCTAGCCTTAGAGCAACTGTGCGCGCATTTTTGGTGGTGGTGCCCTGCCCTCTCTGCTTAGGGCTCTTCCCTTCTGTGCAAGCACCCAGGGATGCACCCATTTCCCTTATGCCTTCCCCGACCAGGTGGGCTCCCTCCCTCCTCCAGGCTTCCACCCTCACGAGAAACACCTGAGTGCAGCTCCCCTTCCCTTTGTGTGCATCCTGCCAGCAGCAAGGCATGGCCTGGGCAGCACAAACACCTCTGCAGGGTGGCTGTGCTGTTGTGTATTAACAACAGGCCCCAGGATAAGTCTGCAGCATCCCTGGGCAGTGATGCCAAATGAGAGGAGGCTGCTGCTGCTGTGAGAGGGCTCCCATGCTGCTGGGGTCCTGGGCAAAGCAGAGCATCTCCAGGGCACTTGTCCGGTTTGTTCCCTTCTCCTACCTTGCAGAACTGCTGTCCTGTTGCTAGGTTGCCACAGCCCTCAGTCATCTCTCCTTCTCCGGTCCCTCTCTTCCACCCCCAAAATTTGTTTCACTGCTCTTCCCCAGCAATGCTGTGTGGAGGGGACTGTTCCTCACCTGTATGAGAAGCATCTGCTGCCTAGATCCCATTCCTCCCCCTGAAGCCAGTTAACATTGCTGGGGCTTAGAAGTTAACGCAAACTGCAGGTGTTTTTTTTGCCTGGGAGGGGACAGGACCTGCCTACCTTCCCCTGTACAGCTCCATAGGCCAGGAAGCTACTGAGGCAGGTAACCAGTTTGGCAGGCATGAAGCAGTCAGTCCCAGATAGTAGGCTCACATGCAAAGCAGCACAATCATGTTATCTCCTGTTTCCACATGGTGCCTGGCTCCCACCTGGGTCAGGGTGCTGCTCACAGCTGATGATCGTGATTTCAAACCCTGCCTGGACACTCTCCAGCCAGCCTCAGTCACCTGCTTTCCCTGCCCTCTGTTGTTTCCTCCACTTGTCTAGGAGAGGGTTTTTGCAAGCCTTCATGCAATCTGGTGTGTGAGCTTCCCCTTCTGCCACTCTTGCCTTCTGTAGCTTCCTACCTCTTCTGGTTTCCATCTGCTTCAGATCTTCACTGAAAGCATCTTTCTTCTCCCTACCAGTCTCTCTCCCCCCGCCCCTTCCTTTACTGCCATTTGCTGTGTTTGGTAAGTGAGCGTCCAGAACCACTTTGGGAAGACGTGTTCTCTGATGCAGAACAGCACTTCTGTCTCCATGCTGTTCATCAGGCTTTCAAATACAAATTGCCCCTAGTGCCATCTTTGATGATCTGCGAGGAAGGCAGGCAGTTGTCCAGGAAGCTACTGGCTGAATTTCCACATATATGTTCAGTACTCAGTTGGCTGGGTAAAAGTTCCCTGTGCATTTTGGTTTGTCCTTCCACTCATTTCCCTTCATCTCCCCACTTCATTTATTTATCCCCAGCCCCCTCCGCCCCACCCCAGGAAGTCGAGTGTGTAAGCACCAGCTCCACTACCATCCGGGTAAGTTGGGTGCCACCGCCTGCCCAGAGCCGCAATGGGGTCATCACCCAGTACTCCATTGCATACCAGGCAGTGGAAGGAGATGACAACACCAAGCATGTGGTGGATGGCATTGGACGGGAGCACTCCAGCTGGGAGATCAAGGACCTGGAGAAATGGACCGAGTACAAGGTGTGGGTAAGGGCTCACACCGATGTGGGGCCAGGACCGGAGAGCATCCCTGTGCACGTGCGCACTGACGAGGATGGTAGGTGTTACTGAACAGCTCCTTCAGCTACCGCCTTGGGGCAATCAGGACTCTCCTAGCTGAGCTGCTGGAAAAGGGGGAGAAAGGAGTGGGGATATTGGCCTGGGAGTGCTTTTCAAGCAGGACCGGAGGCTGTCAGGAGCAGCACTTTGGTCAGCTGCTCCAGGGAGTGGGTCTCCACAGTTGCCCTGAAGTGGAGTAGGGGAATTGCTCTCTTGGCCCTTGCTCTGATATGATGGTTGCCTCCAGGCAGTGGGTCAGATGTCCCGGCGTGGTCCCACAAGGGCCCTGTGTGTGCTAGCAGTGCTTCCTGCACACGTGAGGAGGCATTACACTGCTTTGCCATTTCGGCTTTCTAGTGTCTGCTGGTGGTGGTTTCCATTTTACTGAAGGTAATGTGAGTCCTCCCAGCCAAAGGCTTCTCTCGCATTGTGAGATCAGGACTTAAAGTTTACTTGTTGACCTAAAATCCAGCAAATGAAAGAGGGGAAAAGAAATCCATTTGGAACTTGTAGATACCACAGGAAAGCTGCTTCCTGCCCTGGCTTCCAGGCAAGCCACAGTTTATATAAATCTGCTCTTCTGCTCAAGAGTCAGAATATCGCATGTACAGAACACTTTACTGGATACGACAGCTTTAAAGAGAAATTGCTTTGTATTAGCAGGGCTGTCAGTTATGTCATCATGACTTAAGCCATTTCCTTTGAAAGTGCCAGAGCTCAGGGTGACAGCAGGAGCTTCTATGGCTTCATGCTGACCCCAGAAGCTGCAGATTTAGTGGGAGAAGAAAGAGATGCAGTGTCCAGGCAAAGAAAGGATGGTCTCTGCGTTGCCTAGTCAGCGTAGCAAATTGAAACCAGACATGTTACAGTTTCCCTAAATGGGCTACCACTGTCCCCCGTGTCTCCGTGGCTCTGGAAGTGGTGTGTGGGAATGCTCACTGACTGCATTCCTGGGCTGGCAAACACATCTGTGTGTGTCCTGCTGCCTGTATTGTTTGCTTCAGTTCACGTTCAGCAGAGCTGTAGCCCAGGGGAAGCTGCTACCCCAGAAATGTCGCAACAAGCTCTCTCAGTTAGTTTTTGGGCACTGTGGTTGGACATTCCAGCCTAGCTGTCAGGAGTGATTTCACGTCCCTCTGACATGCTGATGCTCAGTAGATACCCATGATGAAGGAATGAGAAATGCTAAACTGTGATCTGAAAACAAATAGAACTTTCCCTGTTTGGGTCTGAGATGCAGCACATGCTTCCCATAATGGGGTACGATAGTGTTCCTCGAAACACTGTGGTATGCTCACCTTCACATCTTTTTGCGTCCCTGCAACGTCCGGATATCATGTCCTGCTGAGGCCTCCTGCCTTCTCTTGCCAGCAGAGCTTGACACACAGCTTCTGTCTGGTTCTCAGGGAGGATCTTGTTTTTTGCTTGGACTCCCAACTGTGTGTGTGGGCAGGTGTCTTGCTAGGGCAGGAGAGCCCTGTGGCTTGTGCAAGGTCACTGCACTAAGTGACTTGTAGATTACAGCATAGGCTGCTCCAGCCAGAAGGTGGTAACTATTCAAGCACAGCCCCCTCCATTCCCATACCTTGAGCTGGCCTCGTGGTGCTAAAATGCTCCATTCCTCCTTTCTCTATTTTATTTAATTATCTACAATTAAGAAGGACATCTGGGGAAAATAATGAATTGCCCTGCAGCTTAAAAACTGTGCTTACCTGCTGGGTAGCTGTTTCTTCCCATTTAGTTGGTTGAAATAGCAATAGTCGTTATGTCTGCTTGTCAGCTATCCATCCCTAATTATCTAATACTAATTATTTCTTGCTGTGATGAGAACTGGGGCGTATGGGGTCCCAAATCCCTGGATTTTCCTAGGCAGTGGAGGGTGGAAGGGGTCCTGCAGTAGAGGTGCTAGGATGGAGCCCAGGTCCTTCACTTGGGTACCAGGCACTCGCGTAGCAGTGGTACCTTCCACAGGGAATGCACACCTCTGCTGCCAGCTGCTTCAGCTGGAAGGAGCTTTCCAAGAGCAACTGAGAAGCTAATTTTTTACCATTGACATTTTTGTCACAGTCAATGCAAGAGCAAAAAGTAATAAGGAGGTAATTTTTCCAAATGGTAAATAGGGTATAAATACATTTTTAAACGGGCCTCACCTTGCAAGAAAATTGATATTTTCTGGGCAGTGTAATTTTTCATTTTATTATCAAAAAGCATTCAGCTAGCCGTGCATGAAATACAGTCCCCAGAGCTGTCACAATCCCCACGGGCCCCTTTATCTGGCTGAGTTCAGCGACTGCTGTCTCTGAGCTCTGGGTTATTGTTTTAGGATGGTGCTTTTCCCCCTCATTAACCTCTTGCTGTCACAAGGGAAGAGCGCGTGTGCACTCTGGCTGATGGCAGGTACCAGGGCTCCCTGTGAGGCAGGCTCAGCGCCCAGTCCCGCTACCTGGGGCTGTTGGACTGTGTTTAGATGGATGCAGAGAGATCTGAGAGGAGGTGTTGTGACAGGCAGGATGCAAAGAAGGCTTCAGAACCCCTGCCTCTGCTGCAGGGCACCCTGAGCTGCAGGTGGTTACCATATTCTTTATATTCTGCTCTATTCTTCTATTCTTCCTTGCTCCCCTACTGCTGGAGACAAGAGAGGGATAGACGGACCTTGGGTCTGATCCAGCACAGTGGCTTTTATTAGGTGTGCTCCTGCATATCACGGTCATACTCTTTCCTACTGATGGTAGCAAAAGTACTTGGATGCTGGGAAAGGGTCGGGGATATGGTCACGCTGGAAAACTGCAGTATGACTTCCTGGGCAGGTGCAGGGAACTTGTGCCAGCAGGGCTGTCCTTGCAATGAGGAGGAGGGAAGGTAGCAAAGGAGTGAGAGGTAGCTGACAGCAGTTGTGTGGTACCTGCTGACTGTCCGTCTTGTGTGTGTTACAGTGCCCAGTGCCCCACCGCGAAAGGTGGAGGTGGAGTCCGTGAATTCGACTGCCATCCGGGTGAGCTGGAAGCTACCCATCTCCAACAAGCAGCATGGGCAGATCCGCGGGTACCAGGTTACATATGTGAAGCTGGAAAACAACGAGCCCCGAGGGCAGCCAGTGATCAAGGACGTCATGCTGTCGGAAGCACAGGTACAGTGTGGGGACCACGGGCTGGTGGGCACAGCCCTCTCCACAGAGGGCCAGGCTGGCTGGATCCAAGTATTTCTGGGCCTCCTCTTGTGGCTCCAGAGCATGGGACTCAGCCCTGCCTGAGCAAGGCAAACAGTTTATCCCTAACTGTGGCTTACAAACGGGTAAAAATCGGGAAAGGATTGCTGTAGGAAAGATGATGTATTGGATGATGCTCCTCTCTTACCCCTTCTCCAACATGGACCTCTCTCTTCCTGGCACATCCTGTGCAGACTCCACCTGGAGCAAATTGCATTTTGCCAGTCAGGTTATAAACTGTCAGAGAGTTTTAAACAAGCCTTGAGTCTGCTTCTTTTGTGCTGCTGACTATGTTCAGGGCAAAGCTTCTCTCTCAGCAGAGTCCAGGGGGCTCCTGCCTGCTTGTGGGGCACAGGGAGTGGCTCTGCACCGTTGGGTGGGCACAGCATGCCAGGCAAAGCCCCCCTTCCCTCCTGCTTTTGCAAGGCAGGGACTTGACCTTGCATTGCCTCTTGAAACCAAAGTGTAGATGAAGCCAATGGAGTCTGGGAAAGGCGGGGATTGGAGGGAAGAAGAGTGAGATGCAGGCCCACATTGCCTGTAAATGACTTTGCCCTCTGCAATCCCCACACAACAATCCGCTCATATTTATGCAATCTCCTGGATACCTCACTGGCTGTGAGCTGAGGCCCCGTTCCCACACAGTGTTCCAGGCATGGTTATGCACTCTGCTCGGCCCAGCAATGCGTACTTGCCTCATTCCCAGGGTCCAGGGAAGTTTTTGGTGCCCTGTCTGTGATGAAATACAACTCTTCTTTGGAGCAAGGGTCCTTTGTCCTGGATGACCCATGCTGTTCTCAACAAAGATAATCGTATAAATGAAGTACAGGATCTGCTGCTGTTGGAAGCGACGAGTAATCGATTCAGAGCTGGCTTGCTTGAATGATGCCCAATATAAATACTGGAGAGCTGCAACGATTAATTGATCTGTCTCCTGAACGCAGCTGTGAATCATTTGTACGTTTGTCAGTGGGGAGTGCAGTGCACAGAGGCAGCTTTACTCCCCATTCATATTCTGAAGGGTAGAACTCAGTAATAATGTGGAAGGGGAAAACTTTAAAGAGAGAAAATGCTTTGAGGGACCTTACAGTGTTGTCTGGGGCACGTCTCTGTTTATGTTTCAGATGTTGCTTTATTTTAATCATTAGAAAAGCTGCTTACTGCCCTTTACTTATTCCAGGAGGATATAATCTTCTGTGATGTTTGAACAATTGATGCTGTGTTGTTCAGCTGGAGTTTGGAGTTAATGGGTTGGTCCCAAGCGTAGGTGGGCGAAGTTGGCAATGTTGTTCTTGGTGTTTTCAAATATTTTATGCTTGCCCAGCCAGTTCTGCTTTCACTCCTTACTCATACATTTCAGAGAGAGAAACCCCATGTTAACGTGCAGGAATGAGGATGCCAGAGCCAGAAACTTTCCAACTAGTGCTGGATTTTGCATTATTTTGAATGTGTGCATCAAGGAGGCAAGTTGCTTGAAGTTTCCTGGCCTGTCAGACCACTTACCAGTTATTCGTATTTGGTGAATTTCTGTGGGAGAATTCTTGATTGGTGTGATTTTTTTTTTTTTCTGGTGTGTATGGTGCTGAACTCATCTGCTGTAATTTTTGGATGGAAGTGAAGGCCAAAAGGTAGTTGCAGAGAAGTGACTACTCTGAAGGAGTCATGTCACTCTTGGGATAAACTAATGATGACCCTGCAGGGAAGAGGTTTCACTGACTGGACAGAAGAGGTCTTTATTAAGAAGCCAGGCATGACTTGTGCTTGTGATGAAATACATCTGCTCCAGAAGCTGAAGAACCCTGTAAGAGCTGCCATCTTTCAGTACAGCAGTGCATGTCTTTGCAAACAGCTGGATCAAACTTCAACCGAGTAGTCTTGGAAGAGTTATTTTTTATGGAAGAAAACAAAAAGATCCACGGGAACACCTGTCCCTGAAGGTCACAGGATGAAGATGGCCAGAATAGAGCCACAGTTCAGTACTCAGAAACATTCATAAACACTTACACCAATGCACAAGGAGAGAATTAAACTGATTGAAAATCTGGGGTCAGAGAAGAAATTCTCTGGACATGTAGGCAGAGCCCCTCCTCCTGCCTAGCCAGGTTGTCTGCTGATTTTGAGTAGGTATGTACCACATAATCTGCTTCCTGCAGATGGTATGAAGACAGTGGTATTAAAGCTGACCCATGATTTTTTTCTGATTGAAGATGAGAAATAGAGAAAGAGTAAACGAAGATGAAAGGAAAAAGGAAAGGGAATGGAGATGTTAGCTATGCAGATAATACAGATTCTGAGTTTTCAAAACCATTTGAGCAGAAAGGACTAAAACATCAGCAGAGAAGTAGGGGCCCTGGTGCTGGAGAGATCGCGTTTTATTTTACAGCCTCCTGCCTAGGGAGAGTAATCGGTTGTTAGGAAGGTCCTGCGATGGAGCTGAGGCCTCTCCCTCCCCTCTGTGGCTGTGCCTGTGCCTGTGACTGATTACCTCCGTCAGATTTCCCTGTGCCTTCCAGTCTGAGCCCTCACCTCCTACTGACAGACTGATGGACAAGCAAATGTGGCCATGCCCTGTGGAGGAGCGTCCAGGGGAGCGTGTGTGTCGCTGCAGAGCTGGGTCAGGTACCCGCACCACCTCCTGCACAGGCCCTGCCCGTCATGGCTCAGCCAGGTCCCGTGGTGAGCGATGGCAGAAGATTCATTTCTGTGCCCTGGGTCTTGTGCACAACGCATCCAAGCACCAAGAGAGCGCCTTTGAAAGGAGCAGGGGCACCAGTGCAGGGGCTCAGCTATGCTCCACCACTCCATACAAGTCCTCACCGGCTTGAGGGAGCGGGGAATAGCAGAGCCATGGGGCACAAGCATTAGGTTCTTCAGGGGAGGGCAGGGGCCCACCTGCCTTCCTGGGTCTCCGGTCCCTGGGCAGCTGCAGTGTGTCAGGGGGAGCAGTGGGCTTGATCTGCCCCATCCCTTCCCAGGTACCAGTCCTACGTGCCCTGCAGAGCTCAGTGCTGAGCAGTGCCAGGCGGCAGTGCTGAGTCTGGAGCACCGGGCACAGAGGGGGCAGCAGGGAGGACAGGCCTTCCTGTTTGAGTTCCCGTGCAAGCATGACTCGTTTGCTCTTTCAAAGACAGCCAGCTAGACCCTGCGTGAATCTAGCTGTTGATCCACTGGGTCCTGCTCCCAGCCTGCTTGTCCTCAGCCCAGACTGGAATGTCTTGAGGGGGGACTTTCTCCCCATGCTGCAATGTGGCCTTGACAACTGCTCCCGCCCTCGACTGCAGCATATTTGCTGGGGAGCCTGCTGCCTGCATCACTCTGGCACTGTGACGTGCGCATTAGTCTCGCTGCTTACAGCCCTCTGCAGATCCAGCCTGCCCAGAGAGCTTTGCAGTGCTTCTGCTGCTGGGAGCTGGCTGGGTACAAGGAGGCCAGGCTTTGTGGAGGAGAGACTCCTGCCACCTCCTCCTGCTCTGCAAACAGAGTCATGGCAAGGGAGAGGTGTGCTGCCCACGAGAAGGGCTGCAGGCTCACAGGAAGATTGTGTGGTCTTCGCAGGCGGCACTTCTCCATCCAGCATGCAGACCGAGTGCACTTCCCACCAGCTTGCTCCAGAAGAGCAGGAAGAAGTAATGGCAAGCACTTCAAGCTGTTGGACTGAGATCAAAGGAAAAGGGGAAGCAGAGACTCCTATTCTCCCTGGGCAGTGCCCACCCCAGGCATAACAGAGGAATTCACAGCCTTCCTCTTTCGCTGGGTGATAGTTATGGATCTTTATCTAAATCTACTTGGAACAACTCCTCATGCATGTGTACTCGTCTAGGTAAGAGTCTGGCATGGAGGTGAAATATACTCTGCTTCATAAGTGGAACAAAACTGAAAGGCATCATCCAAGAGGCGTTTCATTAATGGACAGAGGTGAAGTTCTGGAGCCCTCAGACCCCTCCACATCCCACAGGCTGAGCACCCAAGTTTACATCTGGAGTTTCACTGTTGCGCCACAGTCACTGAAGCAGAGAGGAGAGGGATCTGCAGGAAAACTGCAATATCTACTTCCCATAGCTGGGGCTGTTTAGGAGGGCTTGAGTCTGTCTTTTGCAAGAGCCATGGTCAAGGAAAACAGCCGTTCCCTGGTGAGACATGACTATGCTGTGCGGTGTTGAAGTGTAAAATGAAACGTTAAGGCATTGCAGCTGCCATAAATACACACTGTTAGCTTTAGCACTTCCCTGAGCCATCCTGCCTCATGCACACAGCACTGTCTGAGTTCTTTTTATGACAGCTCCTGGGCTTTTCAGATCAATTTGTCTTACTGACCAACCTTAAACAGTTAAGAAGCAATTGAGCTAGTTTAAGGAAGGAAATGTTTTGATCTGCAGATGATATTTTCATAATGAAACTGAATTTATACCAGGGTATTTATGCAGGCCTGGCTTTTCACTGTTACTCCTCCAGCACAGATCTCAAGGCATTTCTTTGCACTCTGATCTGATGCAAGATTAAAGTCCACTGAAACATAAGAGCAAACAGAGTTTGAACATTAAATGCTTGGTCTAAAATCCTAGTGGGTGATAAACTCCCTGCTGTGGTGTGAGAGGCTGTGAGATGCAGTAGCCTCCTGAGCCCTGGTCTACTCCACTGTTCGTTGCAGTGGGGTGTCACCTTCTACTCCTGCAGCTACATGGAGGTGGGTTGGGGTGTTACCATCCACATGGCCCCCATCCACCAGGGACATGGTGTTGGAGCAGAAGCGTACTTCTGGGAGAGAGAGCTACCAGGCCTTGTATCCTTCCTGTAGTAAGACTTCTGCAGGTTTTAGATCAGCAGGGCAGAGTGCGTGGCTGTTGACCACGGTGTGAGCTGGCTGGCGCAGGTAGGATGTCAACAGCAAATGACTTGGGTTGAGCTAAGCGTGCAACACTGGAAATAACACCAAGATGCATGTGGAAAGAGGGCCTTTAGTGACCGGAATACTTAGTGAGGACCTTGGCTTTATAGGAAGTCTTTAGGGACAATTTGACCTCTTTGCTGAAATTAAATTTTAAGATGGTTTAGGGGGATAATTCTACTGCAGTCTCACGGCATCAAATAAGTGAACTATAATAAAATCTTACAGGAACGTTTCTCCAATATCTGCTTCTTTCTGAATTTAGAGAGTGAAATAACAGATATTTTGAAGGTATGCCATGTATTTTACTGCTGAGGAGAGTACTCTGCCACTGAGATAGGCTGCAGCCTGTGAAAGCCACCTCAAATAGCCTGAGTACAAAAGTCAACTTGTAGCTTTAATACCATTTAGTACTTCTGCCGCACTTGCAGGTTCCCGGGCACTTCAGCAGCATTAGCTGGGCTTTCCAGTGTCCTGAGGAAGTCAGTATCTGAGCGCCATTTCACAGCTGGCAGCTCAGGCTCAGAAGCAAGGCTTGCCAAGGCTCACACTATGAGTCAGGGGCAATAATACCTATCTTCCACTTTCATCTCTGTGCTTGAACCCATGGACCGGTGCTTCCTCCAGGCAGATTTAGTAACCTGAGATGTAACGCATCACCTTGGCTGAGAGAGCTCCTTGTGATCTCTGCAAACCTTCCTTTGGTGCATGAACCACAAAGAACAGTGCTACAGGCATGCATGGCAGCAGCCAAGGTCTGCTAAGTCTCACCACCCCAATGCAGCTTTGATGCCTTAGAACCCCAAATCCAGCCAGAAACCTGCGTGTTCCCTCTTCAGAGCCCTAATTGACCTGCCATGGCTGGGAATCCACACGAGCTTTTGCTGGGAAATGGTTTATGTAGAAGTCTTACCTGCAGGGCTGCTCTTGCGAAAGAAGTATTTGCCGTTTGGTGTTGTGTAATTGGGAGTGAGAAGCTGTTTCCTCAGCACATGCACCAGGTTGAGCCTCCCTCCACGCAACACTGTTGGAGAGGAGCAACTTAGCATGGAGCTCTGTGTAAGATCTCAGGCTCTCTTGCACTGTTGACAAGAGATGGCACTTCTTGGTTTTCTGAGGTCCGCAGAGCGTTTTGTTGCAGATGATACAGGAAAGAGAAGCTCTGTAAATGTTGCATTGGTGCTTCCCTGCAGAGAGTGCCCTCTGCGTTTTGTGTGTTGAAGTCTTTGGTTCTCAACAAGAGATGGTGGCTGGAGGATCACTAGGACAGAAACTGGAAATCAGGCCACAGAGCTGTTGTGAGTGACTTGTGGGGCAGCAGTCAGCCCCAGAGCCTTGTTGGTACAAGCTGTCCGTTCTTGCTTCTGCTCATGGAAGAGGCAGAAAAGTGCAAACAAAGCCAGAAGGGGAAAGGACTGCAAAGTTAGGAAGTAGTGATCTCTCCATCCATATGAGGAGGAAGCTCTTTGCCCCTCTTTGTGTGAATGATCTCAGACCTACTGCGCAGGCTAGCAGCATGTAGAAAATTGCTCTATGCCATTTCTTCCCTTGGCACAGCCTGTGCCGAGTGACCCTCTGTGTGTAAGTGTTGTAATCCCACCAACCCAGTCCTGCTAACCCCTGCTGTTGTCATTGTCGTCGTCATCCCCTTCCTACACGTTGCCCCTTAAAATTCTGTGTCTCCATTTTTCTCTCCTCCTTCCTTTCTCCCCCGTCAGTGGAGAACTGAGGACTCCGTCGACCATGTAAGTACCACTTGTGTGTATTCCAGGTTGGAAAAGAGGGGTTTGGTAAATCGATTTGTGAATTTTGTAGACACAGTGCTGTCAAAACATGCCTTTCACTCCCTTAATGAGGCTGGAGAGTTACATTGTGAAACCTTCCACAAGCAGCAAATCCAGGGAAAATTGGCATTTAGATTGCTAGTAAATGCAGAAAAGCAATTGACATTTCCTATAATCTGTATTTCCAGCTTGTTGCAGTGCAGTTTTAGGCAGGCTCAAGTGATCGACTCAGGAGGTGCTTCCTACTTCCTGCAGTAGTTGGCCCACTGAGTTACATGGTAAAATTAGATACATAATCTTTAAACCACATTGATCGTAGTCATGAAAAGTAACCTACACTCTCAACCGTGACCTTTGGCTGAAACACAGATAGTAATAAGAAAACAATCACATTTAAACAGTTAAATCCATTTTTTCCCACATAATTTTGAAATATAAATTTGCAGGAACAAACTAGAAAATGACCTTTTTAGAGTCAGCAATTCAATTATGTGCCCTACTGTGAGCTTCCCTGGCACGATGCATTTCTCCTCCTGCTTTATACAGAGGATTCTTGCTCAGAGTGGCTTTGTCATGACAGCACTGTATTTACATTATGCAATCAGACCTTCTTTCATCCATCCCTTGTCTCTCTCCCCTCCTCCCAGCTCGCTTGCTTTGCTCCCGGTGGCATGCTTTTGCGTGAGAATTTCTCTTTGCATGGATTTGGGAGGAGGGAATTCTCTTGGGATATTCAGAGTCTGCAGGTTTTGTGTGAGTGCTTCCCCCGCGGGTCCATTGGCACCGATAGGACTGCGTGTCCACTCACCCGTACACACGATCTGCTGCAGGGGCGGAGTTGGGATCGGACTCTGGTTCACACGGTGATTTTGGTGGGGTTCTTGTTGGTGCTTGTTGATTTTTCTCTGGGCTGGCTGGTTCCGCGATGGTAACACGGTGATTTTGATGAGTAAGCCTGGGCAGGTAACCTGAACCAGCAGCACTGACTGGAAATCAGCAGGTTTAATAGCATGGGTGGGTGTGCGAGTGAGTGATGGGAGACTGGCTGTGCTCTGAGAGCAACCACAGGCACCCCTTGTACCCCTCAAGCTGGCAGGGATCCCCCAGGCAGAGATCAGACTCCTGGAGCAGCCTCTAACAGCGCCCACGCTGCCTGTCCTCAGTGACTCGAGCTTAATGCTCTTCACCTCTGCTCTTCTCCTTGTCTGAAAGGGTAAATAACCAACCCAGAGCCTCTGCCTCCTTTCCAAAAGCTTCCCCAGCCCCTTCTCCAGCCCGGTTGTCTCTTGCTCCCTGACCTGAGGGGTTGTTAGTGCTAATGGCCCTGGTCCCTTTCATAGCACCCACAGATGAACGCAGTTCAGGGGTACCTGCCCTGAGCTTGCAGAGAGCATCTGGGAGCTGCTGAGCTCGCTGTGCTTGCTCGTTTGCAGGCCTGGCCAGCCAGGCTTGGCACGAGTCATGTTGCCACTGGAGGCCAGGAGGGAGGGAGGAGCGGTGCTCCCCTCTTTGATTTCAAATTGAAGTGCGGAGCCATGCCCTCCTCCTGCCCAGAGGAAGCCAAGTATGCAAGGGTACTAGCACCCTGCGGAGTCCGCCCTCCTCCCAGACCTCCCACGGCGCAAGGTTTTCCCTCCAGGTCTTGCCAACGCCTTGCACTGACCCCATCCCATCCTTACAACGCTGTGCCTGGCAGGGAGGGTGAATGCGGTGCTGTAATGCTGCAGGTGCTCCTTGCCCGGGGCCTCCTGCCTGGCGTGGCCATGCTGCTGCCTGCATTGCCTCTCTGTGCTCCCTGCAGCTCTGCTGTAAGAGACAACTTTAAAAATCCCCAAATTAGCCCCCAAGAGGTTTCCGCAGCCAGCTGAACTGGCTTTTGCTCTGGTTCACAGCTCCACAGTCCTCTTACTCTCAGACTTGCTGTGGCAGGGTGGCTCTGGCTTTACGCAGAACCATCCCTGGAGCAGCTCTCCCTCTTGGCGGAAGCCATAGGAGAGCGCAGCTGCTGACACAGGTTGCTGGTGGGTCCCTGGAAAGGCCAAGTGCTAGAGACAGGGGTTGAAATTAGGCAGGTGAGCGTTGGAATGGCAGAGATTGTTGTTTGCTGGCTCTGTGCAAGATGTGTGTGCTTGAGTGTGATGCATGAGTGTGAGCCAGCAAGTGTGTCAGTGTGTTGCTGTTGGAGACGCTGACCCCAGTGCCCTCCTTTTGCTCACTCCAGTAACAAGTATTTGCTCTTCTTGTTTGCCTCTTCTCCGCTTCGTGGATGTGCTCACAGGAGACGGTCATTGGAGGCCTGCTGCCAGAAACCACCTACTCCGTCACAGTCGCTGCCTATACCACCAAGGGAGATGGTGCCCGCAGCAAGCCAAAAGTCATCACCACCACAGGGGCAGGTGAGTCTGGGGAGCGGATACCACAGCCTCGTAGGGGTGGTGGTAAAACCTCCCAAGAGGTGCACGGGGAGTATGGCTAAGGCACCTGTGCAGGAGGAAGCGAGAGGGCTGGAGATGCTGCAGAGGTACATACTCTTGTGATGTCCAGCCCTTACTTACAGGCTTTGCCACTGGATCACCTGAGCAAAGTGCAGCAAACAGCTGGACAGACACTGCCAGGGCCCGTGAAAGAGCAATGAAACTCATGGGTCTGAGCCCATCTGCATAATCCAGAGACCTGGGAAGAGGAAGTCTGAAAGTCCAGGCCCTCCCTCAGCTTTGGAGTCATGGCCTGTCCTCACGTTGTTCCCGTAGGCGAGTGCCATTTCTTGCTTCCTGCGGTGACTGCATTGCCGCCTGGGATGGCCCCAGGCACAGAGGGCTCCTCAGAGGTGCTTCTCAGCTCCCTACCCCAGCCATTGCTACTGCTGCCTCCCCAGGCTTAAAGAGCTCAGCCCGGCTGCTCCTAGAGCCATGGTAAAATCTGGAATGCAACAAATCCTGCCATAGGAGTGCTGCGGACACAACTTCTAGGTCCTGGTGATCCCAGCCAGTTCAGTTCTGCTATCTCAGTAGAGACTCGTACCCTGTGCCTAGTGCAACACAGGAGCCTCGGGCCTGGAGCAGGAGCACCCAGGAGTTCATCAGGTGCTTTCCTCCGGATGCGGTCAAGCTTGCCTTTGGTGGTGGCACCAACTAGTTGACATTGTCTTGTCCCTGATTTCCACTCACTAGACCTGTCCTACAACTGATAATCCTGCTGCTTCCAGCCGCAGGAACAGTATTTACCACTTGTCACTATGGGAATGCAGCTTGTGCAAACTGAGACCGTTTGTTCCTGGTGCTTTTAAACAAGGAACAGCTTGCCATCTCCTCCGTGCTGCATATGGGGAGCTCCAGAGGTAGTTTCCACTGTCACAATCTCAAATGCTGTCTCCCTTGTGCCTCACCATGATGTATGCTCTGTTCATCAAATTGCTACAGCTGTCCTATAAACAGGAAAAGCTTCCTAAACATCCCAGTGTTGCACTGTAAACCACAGTGGGTTTTCCCATGTTATGATGCACATTTAAAGTTAATATCTGGAATCAGCTTTGAAAATAATGTGTCCCTTAATACTAGCTGCTGTTAGACATTGTATTATGAGTGCAAGGAGGATGGCAGTGGCAGTGGAAATGTAATTGTATGTCTTAAATACCTACAAAACCACCCCCAGAGCTGCCTTTGTACAGGCTTGTCTGCAGGCTTGACCTCAAAGGGGAGTGTTGGTATCGCCCTCTGATGGCAAAATCGGGGCATAATTCTGTCAAATACTTTCTCTTGTGCTCATCTGTGGTCTCATACATTTCAAAACTGTGCAAGGGTATTTAACTATGTTTGGCTACAGTCCCATTTTCATTTTCATATCAATGGCCCCATGCCTTTGATTCTGAGTATCTTCCCTATCAGTTGATTTGTTTACAAATCTGAGCTGATGTGAAGTGAAGACGCATCCTTTTTTTAACTGAAGGAGATCAAGGTATTAAACCATCAATTTAAAGCCATCAGTTCCTAACCAATGACGGCAACACCCCTTGACTTGTGCAGCATAAGCAAAAATCCTGTGGAACACTTGTGTTCACCTGTCGCATCGACACTGACATCACGAATCTGCTCATCAGCTAAATCAAAACGTATTCTGATGGCAAACAGCCTGCCCAGCTCTGCTCACTGCCTCTGCAGATGGTAAAACTGCAAGGTTTCAGGATGAAATTTGTCTGCCTCCAGACAGGTCAGGGTGCTGGACTCGGGCTTCTGTATGTCTGTTGTGGTACAGTGCACCGGGGCCAGCATGGCCTGGTGCTGTGCACTAGCCTGGAGTGTCTGAAGACCACTGATTGGGAGGACGGGATTCAGATCTTCTCTGAGATAAATATGATGCTTTGAGGTATCTTAAACCTTTTCTGTAAAAGGGGATGAATTTTGGGGCTGGATATGGCTGACTTTATTGCCTGTTTAGATGGCAGCACATGGGAAATGGCAGCCAAGAGCTGTCTGGCTCCAGCTTCCCTCACCACTGGATTAGGGTCGGTCTGCCTCTATCCATGTGAATTGTCTGTCGTCCTCTTCACCCTGTTGTCTGAACTTTCCCACTTTCCTCAATCCTCACGGACTGAGCAGCACAGAAGTGGTCCTTCCTTCCCCTCCTCCCAGGGTATAGATGGTCATTGTGTGTTTATATTGCAGTCCCGGGGAAGCCCACCATGATGATTAGCACGACAGCCATGAACACAGCCCTCATCCAGTGGCACCCACCCAAGGAGATGGTAGGGGAGCTGCTGGGTTACCGGCTGCAGTACAGACGTCTTGATGAGGAAAAGATGAACACGATAGACTTCGGGAAGAGAGACCATCACTACACTGTGACCAACCTGCACAAAGGGGCCACATACCTCTTCAAATTGTCTGCCAAGAACAGAGCTGGCCCAGGAGAGGAGTTTGAGAAGGAGATCACCACTGCAGAAGACGTGCCAAGCGGCTTCCCACAGAACCTGCGTGTGGTAGGTCTCACCACTTCCACCACAGAAGTTGCATGGGACCCCCCAGTCTTGGCAGAAAGAAATGGCAAGATCGTCAACTACACAGTGGTATACAGGGACATAAATAGCCAGCAGGACCTGGTTAACATCACCAAGGACACAAGTATCACTTTGACGAATTTGAAGCCTGACACCACTTATGACATCAAAGTGAGGGCCCGTACCAATAAGGGGGTTGGGCCGCTCAGCCCCAGCATCCAGTCCCGGACCATGCCTGTTGAGCAAGGTAAGTGCCCATCTAACAAGCCCTAACAGCAAGCTCTGCCTCCAGGACAGGGACCTTTGCTTCAGTTCATGAGGCTACGCTCCCCTTTGCTCTGACTAATGAGATCAGGTACTGTGTGGCTCCCTAGTTGAAAACTAGTGTGGCGAGGGGAGGCTCAATGAAGGTTTCCTTAAAGTTGCCATTTTGGGGGTGAGGGGCGTTGGCGGTAGCTTAGTTGCCTTTGTTGCTCCACTGGCGCGCTTTGCTGTTTCATCTGTACATGAAAGGCTCTTGCTTGAACTGGAGCAGACGGCTGGGTAGGATCATCTGCAGATCCAGTACCTGAGCACCACTGTTCTTTGATCATGGCAAAGGGCCAAGAGTGGGAGTGGAGGGGGGAGAGAGGAAGGCTACAGTTCAGCCTACAACTTCCTTTCTGTGATGCTGGAAAGTATAGTCAAAAAGCGAAACTCCACTGGAGACTGGAGACTTGGTAACAGGCTGCTGCTCTTTTCTCCTCATCTCTCACTTCTCTGCTGTAGCTGAACTCTTTGACCTCTGCTGCTGAGTTAGACAAAGAGAGACTTGGAGCCGAGCTGCTGCCTAGCTCCCTCCTGACTTGGCCTTACTGTGCTCAAATACCTTGTTTTTCATTTCAGTGTTTGCTAAGAACTTCCGTGTCAATGCCGTCATGAAAACGTCTGTGTTGCTGAGCTGGGAAGTGCCTGACTCCTATAAATCTGCAGTGCCTTTTAAGGTAAGGGTGGGATGCAGAGGACAGGGAGCTCCGCCTGTGGCCCTGAGCAGGACAGTGGAAAGCAGCATCTTGACCTGCCACGTGATGTTTTCAGGCCATCAGACAAGAGACCAGCAGAGCAGGGTCACGTTGATCACTGCCCTGGGGTCTTGTGGAGCTCAGATCTCCAAGCCCAGGTTAGGTAGCCGCTCTTGCTTTTGAGCACCTGCACATGAACCATGGCACACAGGAGAGCACATTGCTGCTTGCTTTCCCTTCTCTCACTCTTCTTAGGCCAGAAGGTGTTGTAGTTTTGTTAATTTCTTTCTGCTTTGGTCAGTTGTGGAATAGCCAGTTAGCACTTGGCTCGTGGTAACAGAACAGGAGTCAATAATGTTGGCTGCAGCACACCAACAGGAAACGCCAAGCAGTGAAGGCATGCGCTGGGCAGAGGCAGTCAGAGAATGGGGATGTCTCGGGGATCATAATACGTATTTCTGGCTTCTCACCATCCAGCTAGAAGCCCATCTTGACCGTAGCAACTTTTGCTAAGTACCCACTCCTCCCTTGGTAGTGCCCCTGAATTACTTCCGTCTTCAAAGGGAAATGGAAACTGGTCTGGCACCCCAAATCACTGATGTTTTTCCCATGAGCGGTTGTGGTGGTTGTTCATGCAGTCCCAATCAGTGCTTCAATCCTCCATCAGCTTTCTCAAGTATCTTGTTACGTGGTATCACTTGGCTGGGGCCTACCGGTCAGGCTGGCCATTGCAGCTCCATGACAGTGGTTACACAAGCTTGACCTGATGCATGACTTGGAGTTGAAGCGTGAAAAGTTATAAATGTGATTTAATCCTAAGAGATCACCAGGATAAAGTGGCCCGAAAACCAGCCAGTGAATCAAACTAAGAATGACTCCTTCTGCAACGTGTCCCATCTCAAACATCCGGATTGCCTTTATGAGTTATTTCAGAGCATCAGGGCGGATGCATAATCTCAGGGAGTGAGGGAGAGAAGCATCATCACCCTTCCAGAAGGTGTTACAGGTGTGAGCAGCACAAGATGTGTCAGTGCAGGACACATTCTGAAGGAGTGGCTGCTGCTCTCTTTTCTCCAGCACAGTTCTGGACGTAGTGTCATTCACCAGGCTGCAGGCAGCACTGATGACCCGATGTCTTCCTGCTCTAGTCTGTCCCCCAGTGTGGATCACTGATGTGGGTGAAAGACTACAGTGTGGTGGAAATTCCTGCAGATCTCAGTGCAGCTTCTCTCCTAAGAAACAAGACCAACATGTCACATCACCAAGGATAATCTTCCACCCAGTCTCAGCAGCTATCTGCTGCCTCTGCAAAGGTGGACAGGGGTGGGAGCAGCGTGACTTACTTCCTCCTTGCACATGCACCCTGCCATGCTGTGCCTGAAGAACAAATGCAAAGCCTGCATGAGCTGGGGGGGGGAATCCATGGCCAGGGGAATGAGGGGAAGGTCTTGAACTGCATCCACATCAAAGTGTGTGAGCACCTCCCCTTCCTTGTTACTAACTCTCCTTGTTTAAATCCTGAAGCTGAATTACAATGATCAATAGCAGACCCTTGTTAACATGCAGAGTTTAGCTGAAGCAGACAACGCTTTTTTGAAGACCTTGTGGTATTCAAAGCTTTCCCAGATGTAGGGTGCACTAGGATCAGCGTTCAGATATCTGGCCGCAAGGAACTTCACAGATCCCTGTTACTTTGCACTGTGCTGAAGAGCCAGTCTGCTTCATCTTGCCTTATTCTTGTGGCACAAAGCCCGCATCTCTGTCTGACAGCGCAGTGCTAGAAAGGGACAGTGTGACCTTTGGAGCATTACTGCCACGTAAGGATGGTGGGGTGGTTGGAGGTAGCCAGGAGCCAAGGATGTAATGCTGATGCCGCGTCTCGGGCCTCGTAGCTGCGATTGCTTACACAGACAGTGACTCAGGGTCTGCCCCTGCTGCGGATTAACCCTCAGATGACACAGGAGCAGATGGCATTAGCTGCTTGCTAACTGAAGAGCAGTCATGCAAACGAGAGTGTTACAAGGATATTTCTCTAATAGTCTCTTCTTTCTATTAATATTCCCAGACTTGCAGACGCACATGAGTCAAGGCCAGGAGCTAAGAGGGTCAGCTTCAGGTCATTGATTGTGCCACTCGAAAGAAATCCCTAACCTTCAGGACTTTGTATTTTTATAAACAAGGTTCACCTGTCTCGTCTAATTCAGGCATATGGGATGCTGAGGCCAGAGCCTTATACTGTAACTAGCATAGCAGATAAATCTCCATGGGAACAATTAGTATTATCTACACTTGATAAACAGTCTCATGCTAAATCTATGTCCCAAAGGGTGTCATATGCTACTTTAACAGATTTAATTAAAGTAGATATTGTTCTGACAATGAAGAGTGAGGTGCAGGCAGGACTGCTGCTATTTTTTTTTTTTTTTTAGGGGACGAACTGAGACCTTAGGAACTTTCATTGCTACCAAATCAATAACGAAGGTTTGAGTTCTCTTTGGGGAATTTTCACAGCTTATTCTGGTCCAGGAGATAAATTCCTTGTAAAATGTTGCCAAGGAGTTATGGTGGAGCAGAGGCACTATTCCTTTTCTATTCCACTGTGCTTGCAGAAAGCTGTTCTGGAGCTTTCATGGAAAATGCAAGATAGATAGAACCTTCTCCTTGGGGAAACTGCACTTTTCTGAGACACATTCTTCAACTTAAGAGCAGAACAGAAGGCAACATCACAAGGTATTTTACAAATGGGGAGAAGGAATAGCACCTTTTGAAAATTATGATGATACAGGTTCAGAAATAACCCCTGAGAATGCGGGCGGAGCTTTCTCACAGTGTCTCCCACAGAGTGTAGTAATTACTCCTGCCCCCAAAAAAGACAACCTCATCTACTTCTCCATCGAGTAATTATCTTTTCCAGTGTTGCACACTACATGTCTTTTCATCTTTTAGTTCAATACATTCTTTACTGCCTTGAAATCAGCAGCAGACCTTCAGCAGTGACATTTGGTCCCACTTAGCTTTGCAAATCTTCTCTTGTGAGTAAGGGCAGCACAAATGACATTTTACAGCAATCCATGGGCTAGTCAGCAATGTTTGGCAGTTCAGAGCCCTTGGGCCAAATTTGCTGCTGACTTAAGTAGTTACCAGTGGGCCATGATGCAACTTCTAAATAGCATTACTGCTTGAGCTCCCGGGCATCTTCAGCTGCACATGAATGACTGTTTCTGAGCCCGTACATTATTGTAAGGTTTGTGTAGAGGCCTTAACTAATGGCGCATAACATTTGAGAAGACAATGTGTTATGGCAGGTAAAGGAACATAGAACTGCTACGGCAACTGTGAAAAGGGCCGGATGGCAGAGAATGCTTCAGGAGAGCATTGCAAATGCCAATTTCACTGTCTTGGGACACAAATTTCTGTGTATGGCAGTAAAAATCATCATCCAGTGCCAAGACTGAATCGGAGACCATGTCCTGGCCAGTTCCAGTGCAGAACAAGCAGGGAAACTCGGAACTGAAGTGCCTGACCATCTCTTCTGCCTCCTCTTGCTCCAGGAGAACAGCTATGTCCCCAGCAGATGCCTTGTGTGCAGAGAGTTGGTGGGCAAGTGGTGGGTACACACACAAGCAGTCGGTGATATCTTTATTATGGAAGACTTCATAATGAGAAATCTCATCTGAGAGGCAGCAGAACTCATCGTGGGCTTTGCATCCTTCCAGCGTAGCTCTTAAAGTTGGAAGTTTAGTTTTGTTTGAATCTATGTTGGAGCACATGAAGTGGGGTCCCACTGCTCACTCAGGATACCCCTGACTTGTTTTCATCTGAAATATGTGGACCTGTACTATTGCAATATCATCGCAAGGGGTGGTGCTGGGAAAGACAGCAAAGCTGCTAAGATGACTTGAAGTCTAAGATGACTTTGCGCTCCTGTCTTTGTGGTGCCTACTTCTGTGTCAGAGCAGGGTGAAACCTGCCAACTAAATATCTGATATTCCAGCACTATAAGAAGCATTTCTTCATTTTACCTTTTTCACTCACTTTAGCACCCATCTGATGTACATGTCTTTGGAGAAAGGGATTAAAGCCCAGGAGAAAATATCTTAAGAGGAGTCACAGCAGAGAACAATTCCCTCCAGCCATCCTACCTTTGACAGCCTATCCTGGACACTGGGCAGCCAGCTGGGGCTTTATCCCTGCAAACTTCTGTTATTTTAGAGCTTGGTACTTATTTCGCAGTTCATCCCTGAAGATTGAAGCATGTCAACAAATGAGATTGATTACATCTCTCCTCCATTGCTGGCTCCTCACTGCTGCTCTGTTACCTGTTGGGAGTCTCTTCTCAGCAGCAAAAAAGCTGGGGCTCTTTTCCTATCCTGACCTCCATGCAAAGTGACCTGAAGAAGATTTGAAGCATGCTGTGGGTATCGCTGTTTGGATAACACAAAAGCAGAACTGCAAATGCTAGGCCTAGTCTGGTCCGTGTGCTCTGCTGTCCAGATCTCTTTCCAGGGCTTCCCTCTTCCTCCTAGCTCCAGCACTGGATGTTAGAGCAGTGCTAATGAGCTGCCCTTGTCCCAGCAAGCTGGCAGCTTTCTGCAGATTTCTGCTACCTGCTAAAAAGGTGACTTGGAAGGAAAGTTTGGTCCCTCCCTTGCTGCCTGCATCAGCCTGAACAGCAGGCTCAGCTGGTGAAAAATCTAGTTTACTTCAAGTAATTTTTTTTCCACAGAGCTGTCTTCTCTCTCTCAAGGCCACTGTTGGAAAGAGCACGTTTTACTGTGTGGTCTCTGCCTGTGGCACATAATAGCTGCCATGGTTTAACATGCTGCAGCTCTGCCATTGCCAGTTTTTGGCATACTCTGTCTCTGCACTGCTGTCAGGAATCCAGCAGTCCCCTGCCATGCTGGACGGTCTCCCAGTGGAAGGAAACATGCTGGTTTATCACAGCTCGGGCACAACCTCTGGTCTCTCCAGTTCTCTACACCCCATTTGTCTCTGTTTCTGGGAACTGTTTAAGTTTCTGGCTTTGCAGAGGCAGCACCCAGGGTTTCAAGGTACAGGGGTTGTTCCAGGAGGATTGGGGTCGGGGTTCCCAGGGCAGACAGGCTGTTTGGTGCGGCTAATACAGCAGTGCTTGTGGCTGCTGTGCCCTGGGGAAGATGGGGGTCCTGCATACCTGCAACAGGGAGCTGAGAAAACGTCCTTAGCTGAGGGGCCAGCAGGCCCAAGGGAAGAAGCTGTGCATGGGGGCTGCCTGCTGCCCCCGGCCACCACTGCCCTGCCCAGCATCCCCTCGCTGCAAGTGCGGCAGCGAAAAAGCAGCGCCGATCTCCTGCCCACGGCTGGTGCGGCACCGGCATCTGTTGTCATGGCAACGGGGTGTCACACCTGCAGAGCTGCTGTTTTGGGTACCAATTTGTGAGCCCTGCACGGGATTTGTCAGATCATTGGTGAGGCGTGTAACACCCCCCCCCACACCTTGCTGGGAGGGGGATGATCTGCCTTAACCGTTCGATCAGGCATCAGCTGGTAGACATGGGAGTGACACCAATTTAAAGCAGATGGGATTTTACACCAAAAGCATATTGTGTGTTGTAGCCTCGTGAGACAAGAAACAAAGACCCATTCGTCTCCACACGAGGGCAAAGCACAGCCATCTGGATTCCTCCCCTGAACCGGTGCTGAAAAGCAGCACGTGTGGCACCACCAGCCCCACTGCTGGCACCAGACCCAGGCTTTGCTGAGATGACCCCCTCTCTGCTCCATCACTGCAAGGCACAGGGAGCACAGCTCACCCCTCTGCTGAGGGTTGCTCTTCTTTAGCTAAAGATTTATGGCTGTTTACGAAGTACACAGTAGCTGAGCCACCTGAGGGAGGGCCCAGAGCCAAATTGTCATCTCCAACGCTGCTATTTTGAGTGTGAGTTTTCATCGGCAGCTGCCGGCTGCATGAGCATGTTCTTTTCCCGTTTCAGATTCTGTACAATAGCCAGAGTGTGGAGGTGGACGGCCACTCAATGAAGAAACTCATAAGTGACCTCCAGCCAGACACGGACTATTCTTTTGTGCTAATGAACCGTGGAAGCAGCGCTGGGGGGCTCCAGCACCTCGTCTCAATCCGCACCGCTCCTGATGTCTTGCAAAGCAAACCCATCGCCACAAACAAGTACATACAGGAAGGAAAATTCACACTCACCCTTCCCAAAGTCCAAACCACTGTGCCGGTTAGGTAGGTGCCGTGCCTAGGTGAAGAAGGCAGGGTGGGGGGCTAGAGATGGGGAAAGAGGCAGGGCAGACCTCTGCCAACCTGTGGATTTTGTAACCTGGGATTGAATTTCTGAGCAGGCTGCAGTACAGAGCCAGGCATTTACCCGTAACATGGGATCACGCTGCTGGCTCTTTCTGAGCAAATATTTATGTACAATAAAATTAAGACAATTCTCCGACAGTTTGCCCTCACCCTGGTGGGTATACTCCAAATGCTACCAGAAAAAACACAGTTGAGGATCAGGAGGGACTTTCTCTGACACTGTATAATATCCTTTAAATAAATAATGCCTAAAGCCTCAAGGAGATTAAAAAAGCGAGTTTGTGGAAGTCTTATTCGTTACTGTGGTATCCTTGCGCTGAAGCACAATTCCCCCAGGGTCCTTGCTACAATCCGATTATATAAATGTCCTTCTCACAGCTCCTACACCACCCTCTGGAGCAGAGTCTGTAGATCTTCATTAACCTAATGAGTGCTAACGGGAGCATTCTCTTCTCTGGTGCAGCTGGAAAACCAGCCTCTTCCTTACTGAACCCTTTTGCTGCTTAGAGGGCAGGGAAAGGAGCAGGTTGTCCTTGGGAGGCATATGGCATGTGTTGTTTGGTGACCTGCCAGAGAGATGACTTAGGGTCCAGTACTTATGCTTTCCTTCCTTCCCAGGTGGTACTACATCGTGGTTGTGCCAGCGGATCAGAGCACCAGCAGCCCAACTGCTCGGTGGCGGACACCTGATGAGATGGAGCTGGACCAGGTAGGAGTCTGTAGCAGCTGCTGCGACGGAAGGGGCTCCCAGGTGGCCCAGCACGCTTTGCCCAGGCCTCCTGGCAGCAGCATGGGCGCAGGCTGTACATCAGAGATGGGGGGCTGTGGGATGTGCAGTGCCCACTCAGCCTTTCTTGGCTGGTGACAGCATGTAGGAAGGAGGCTGGAGTCAAGCAAGGGAGGAGCCACCTCCCAGAACGTGCCCCATTAGGAGACCACACTTGAGTGTCTCAGAGCCCTGACCAGGACAGATCCTGTCTCAGGTTGTACGCTCTTTGCAGCCTTTCTCAGCTGAAGCAACCATGCTGGTTTTGAAAACAGGCTAGGACAGAAAAATATTGTTTTCAGTTTATTAAGCTGTTCTGTCAGGAGGCTTTTCCTTCTCTGGATAGGACCTAAGCCTGCAGTTTGGATAAAGAGTTCACTCTAGTATCTAACAAAACCTGCAAAGCTCCCTTCACACCTGCTTGTTAAAGGCTTTCAGCATTCAGCAGCCCATTCACCCCAAGATGCAGCTTGTTCTGCGCAGGAGTCCTCCAACACCAGTAGTGCGGTACACGTGCGGGTGTCAGGAGACCCCCACACAAGGGGTTTGTGGGTTCTTTCTTCCCCACACATGCCACCCCCCCCAAAGTAATAAGGAAAAATTCCAAGAAGTCACACACAGAAGTGTCCATTAAGAGAACAAAGTTGCAAGCTTGAAGCACTCAGAAATTACAACATGTTAGAAGCTGTAAGTTAGCCCTTGCTTATCATTAATCTTTAATTACATGATTGCGCAGTCTTCTCCATGGGGTCCCAGGTCATGGCGTGTATGGGTGGATCCGTTCTGCGCATGAAGCACAATTGCGTGATGGAGAACCATCATCTGTAGGTCTCCTGCATCATTTCATTGCAGAAGTTGGAAGATGTCACAAGAAATAGAAGACTAGGATGAGAAAGGATGGTTTGGGTTTGAGCTTTAGGTGGTTGAAAGCTATCAAGAGAACTGGTTTCTAGCTCTGTTTCACCCAGCCCCGGGCAAATGATTTAAAACAAAATTTTCATTAGCAGCCACTGTCTTGCATGTTCTGTTTTTTTGGAGTGCTCAGTTTGAGATCCTGGAGCCTCGTTTGCAAAGCCCAAGCACCTGCAGCTGCAGAGAAAGTCAACAGAAACTCTGCTGCATACAGTCAGTGCTACAAAAAAGTGCTATGTTTTCTTTAAAAACAAACCAAGCAGATGTCTTTTCAATTTGACATTCAAAGTTAGTGGACATTTTTTACATTAATGTGCCCGTGTCTCTCTTCTCCATCTGTAAAATTAGGATAATCACTTTCATCTCACCTCATATGGGTGTTTGGAAGGTAAGATCATTAATGTTTGTTAAGCACTTGTAATATTATAGTGATCAGCACCATAGAAAAGCCCACAAGGAAATTATTAATTTTGTCTTCAGAGCTGGATTTGAATAGTAAGCTGCATAATGCAAAGAAGAATACAAAATATGGAATAGCTGCTCTTTGATTAGTGTCTGTCCTGTGTATTGAACAAAGCAGGGGAGTTACAGAAAAGATAGTATGTGACCATGCAGTCCAAGATTGTAGCACAATGCACATAGGTAAGACAGCTGAGTTAGTTTTGCACACGCAATATTAATTTTCTGATTTTTCAGGATCTGAACTTTGCAAGCCTAGCATTCTTTTGATGCAGTCTTCTGGTGTGTGTTACATATATAAGTGACAGTAGCGTCCAGCAACCTCAATCACAACTGGAGCCCTGTGGTTTCATGCCCATGCACATAACAGCTGTGGTTTCTGCCCCAAAGAGCTCAGCTGTAATTTCAGCCAAGATACGAGAGATGTGTGTAGGGAGCAAACTCTACAGTCCAAAGACTATCTTTCTGCATTTTCCCCCTGCGGGTAAAAGGGTATTTGTGAAACGGAGATTTCTGCATGCCTTTTTTTTTTTTTTTTTTTTTTTTTTTT